GAGAGATCTTAGTTCCCCAACCAGGGATCAAACTCGTGCCCCCTGCAGCGGAAGCGCAGAGTCCTAGCCACTGGACCTCCAGGGAATTCCAAAATTACATTTTAAATAGATAAGTTGAAAATGCTTAACGGAGACATAAAACTTTTGTTCAAGGAATCAATGTTTTGTTCCAGCCTGAAAGAAGGACTATGTGTGAAAAGAACAGCTACTTCCAGCCCTCTGCTTTTGCAATGCAAGCTATCAAGGTCACAAATTTTGGTTCAAGTTCAGCTTTAGTATTAGTCGACAAGTTTTGTTACGGAGTATTTTTTTTTAATTTATTTTATTTTTGGCTGCGTTGGGTCTTCGTTGCTGCACGTGGGCTTTCTCTAGTTGCGGCGAGCGGGGGCTACTCTTTGTTGTGGTGCGTGGGCTTCTCACTGCGGTGGCTTCTCTTGTCGCGGAGCACGGGCCCTCGGCACGCGGGCTTCAGTAATTGTGGCTCAGATCAGACAGAATCAGAGAAAGAGTAGCCCCTCCTGCACCCCAGGATCTGCAGGGCAGGGCAGTAGGCATTCCCAGACAACTCCCATAAGCACTGGAACCCAAGGAGTTTGCTTGTACTTCTCCCTCTGACAAGGCCATTTTCTCCTGCTCCTACTATAAGAAAGTAGTCTTGGGGTAGGGGTGACGGTGTCATCCTCTGGAATGCAAACACACTGTGTCTCCGCCAGCAACACTGGCTTCTAGGCTCGCCTTGCAAATGTCTCCCAACAGTGCTTCTTCCTTGACCCACACCATGTCAAGCTGTGGTGTCCAGTCTGAGCCCAGCTGCCCGATGGTCCCAAAGTTTGATTACAGGTCTAGAAGTTTCGTTTGATTGTCTAACTGGCTTGGTTATTTTTCATGGTTCCTTGGTCATTACACACAGTTCCGATCCCCTTTAGGCTGATTTTAAGCACAATTATTTTGTAGTCTGCTTGTGGATCCGATCCAGTGGCCTGTGGTTTTTGTTACCCGTTTCCTTGTGTTACCTATGCTTTTGGACAGTGAGTGTGTATTTCTTGGAACTTTCCCTCAGGGACTATTTGAGGCTGAAATTGAAAGCGGATTCTTCCGGAGATGATTTGCATTTCCTTTTTCCGGGCACTCAGGAGTATCAACAACCTGTGATCCTACTTTACACTCTCAGCTCCTGGTTTTTCAGACCCGCAGGAAGCGCAAATTGAGGCGGCAACCTTCTTAGGTGCCAAGTTAGAGTTACACATGGTATGCGTTTCCTAGGGCTGATGTAGCAAAGTACCACAAACAACAGCGATTTATTCTCACAGTTCTGGAGGCCAGCAGTCCAAGATCAAGGTGTCAGCACGGCTGACTGCTTCTAAGGGCTCTAAAGGAGGACCTGCTTCCATCTCACAGCCTGTTCTCCCTGTGTGCACGTCTGTCTCTGTGTCCAAATTTCCCCTTTTTATAAGGATACCAGTCATATTGGATCAGGGCCCACGCTCGTGATCTCATCTCAACATGGCTACACCTGCAAAGACCCTATTTCCAAATCCGGTCACTTTCACAGGTACTGGGACTTCATTGTATCTCTTTGGGGGGGATACAGTTGGACCCATAACACGTCCTCAGGGAAGTTTTTGCTTCTCCCTCCACCCATTGTCAAGGTCCAAGAAAAGGAATTTTCTCGGCCGTCCCATGATGGCTGCGGTGGCTGCAGCCGTGGTGAGCTCCCAGTCGTCTTGACGTGTAGAGTGAGGTCCACTGGGGTCCCAGCTTCAAGAAAGAGCTCACCTATTAGATTTGGTACTTTGGTGGGGGGCTGGGCTTTGTCCCCTCTCCTCCACACCCAGCCGGGCTCTATGAACTGGTGGTACTCAAGCTCTCACTAGGTTGGGCGAGGGAGCCAGCTGACCTCTCTGGACTCCTGCCTACACTCACCTTTTGGCTTCTGAGTGTTTCTTCTTCATTACCCGCTCACTGATGAAATCAGAAACACTTTCCCACCGCTTTTGTTGTGCTTACAAGGGAGACTGGTCAGAGTATCCAACGTATGGTTGTAGGCCAAATAACGGCCCCCCAGAGACAGCCACGTCCTAATGTCCGGCACCTGTGACCACGTTACCTCTCATGGCAAAAGAGACTTTGCAGATGTGATGACAGCGAGGGACCTTGAGATGGATTATGTGGGCGGGACCCATCTGATCATGTGTCCTTAAAAGTGGAGAACCTTTCCCAGCTGTGGTCAGAGGGAGACAGAGAGACGTGACCACAGAAGGGTCAGCTATACAACCTTGCTGGCTTTGAAGATGGAAGAAGGGGTTATGGTCCAGGGAATGCAGACGGCTTCTAGAAGCCAGAAAGGCCAGGGACAGATTCTCCCCTAAAGCCTCCAGAAAGGAACAGCCCCGTGCAGCACCTTGATTTCAGCCCAGGGGGACCTGTGTGGGGCTCCTGTAACCCACGGAACCCTAAGACGACAGCGTGTGCTGGTAATTTGTCATGGCAGCAACAGAAAGCCAATCCCCCTACCCACCGCCGGAAACAGACACCAAGCCTCTTCTTTTCAGGCAGCATCCATCACCTCTACATGAGCTGTGATGAAACTGGACTATTTTCTCTTCCCTACCCTTCCTCTCTCATCTCCATCCAACTTTAGTTCGTTATCTCTTCTTAGTGTTTATCTTTATGCTGTTAAGCATACTTACACCTCTATTAGTTTGCAGGTTTCAAGACCAGGTCTTGACTTCTACCTGGAAAAGATGAGAAACCAGTGCACCTATGCTGCCTCTCACCTCCTGTCTTTTTCTCTTCCCAGCGCTTTCCTGAAATCATTTTGACATTCGTTCTCTCCAAGGGACAGGGTTTAGAATCGTTATATTAGGTTCTGAAACCAAATCTTCACCTTGTCTGAGACGTGTTCCTGCAGATAGAGGTTCAACATCCCCCCGATCCCGTGGTGGAGCATTCCCCCTCCTCCGGCTCCAGGTTGGACCCCGGTCCTTTCTGTAAGCAGCGCTCCCACGCGGAACAGTCCCTGAGATGCTGAGGGTGGGACATGGCCTACTTGCTGCCTTCCGTTTAGACTTTGTGAGCACGAAGGCTTGGGCACACTGACGGGCTGAGGTCCAGGGCAAACCCAAGCTGTTCTCCCGGTTAAGGCACTTGATCTTTCGCTTGCTGCCCTATGATTTTATTTTCTCTTCGAAGCCCAGGGTTAACCATTCTATGTTAATTCATTCTTTTATTTCTGGAAAGTTTTAAAAACACACATTGAAATATTTGTCCTGGTCCGTGATCTTGTTTTGATCCACGTGTGTTAGAGTTCCCTTTTGTTTTGATCCACGTGTGTTAAGAGTTCCCTGGCCTGTGAGGACCTGTGGCTGATGCCACGCGTGTTAGAATCCCAGGTCCCAACCCAACCCCGGGTGGCCCGAGAGCCTAGAAGCTGCCCTGGCGTTGGCTCCCGGTAGCTGCTCTGCTCCAGGTCTCTGCTCTCTGGGATGGGCCCCTTCTCTCAAGCTCAGCCTTGCATTCTGTGTCTTCCAGGGTGTTCCTGTCAGCAGTGGTGGAGTGGCGGGATGGAGGGGTCCACGTCACCTCAGCAAATGGGTTGTTTCCTTCTTTCACTTAGGGAGTGTTTCTCAGACTCTGGACACAAGAGGCCTCCACAGTGGCCCTGCCCAAGGGGAGTCTGTGGTCGTCAGAATCAAGGGGCAGGACACTCAGTGCCCCTAAGAGCCCGCAGGCAGCCACCCTGAGACCGGGAGCGCACGGCTCCCACCTGCTTCCCAGCGTCTGGGGTAACCTCGGGCGGGCAGGCCTGTCCCCGCTGGGCCTGCACCCCGTCCACACGCAGGCCTGGGGCTTCCCACCCTTTTCCGGTCTGGACCCCTCGGCGGGTGCTGCTGGTGCCCTCCCCAAGGGCCCCCCGCCCCATGTTCACCCGCAGCTGCCCCTCAGGCCGCCACAGCTCTCTGCTCCCCGGCCTGGAGCTTTCTCCAAGGCCGTCCAAGCTCAGGGCAGCTGAGTGCCGGCCCAGGGGCTGGTCAGTGAGGGTCTGGGCCTTTCCATCCCCTACGTGTGGACACGAGAACTCAGAACCAGAGGCTGGTTCTCGGGGAGGCGGTGTGGGAACACCTGGCCTCTCGGGGGACTCAGGCCTGAGAGATTCTCAGAGAGGGGGCGGTCCCCCCATCTGGTTCTCGGGGCACCAGCTTAAGCCAGGCTCCGAGTCTCCCTCGGCCCTCACCGCCCCAAGGTGGGTCCCGTCCGGTCCCATCTCCGCAGTAACAAGACCCAACATTCTCCAGGCTGTGCACCCAGCCCAGGTCCTGCGTCTGCAGCCCCCGGTGTGGCCACATGCCCAAGCCGGGGTAAGGAGAGTGAGGGGGAGCGCTGTGTCGGCTTCTGCATCTGCCCACAGCCTCGACGGCAGCAGCTCTGGCAGCCACCTTGGACCACGAGGTAACAATGAGGAAGGAAGTGCTTGCTGAAGGTGAGGGCAGCCTGGGGGGCGGTGGGGGCCCCAAGCCACCCTGGGCTACCACCTCTGCACTGCTTCCCCGTAAGGGAGAAGTCAGTCTCTACCATACTGTTCTGATTTTCTCTACCACAGGCCACGGAGTCACCCTCCGGAGAGATTATTTTTATCTCCAACACATATATATAAAGAAACACGCTCAGGAGGTGAAGGACATGCCCAAGTGGCAGGGCTGGGTTTTGAATCCCGTCCAAACAGAAGACAGTGACACCCGCCTCTGAGAGCTGCTGGAGGGGTCACAGGGCGCTGCATAGGAAGCCCGTGACCTGGGCCGGTCTGGAGGTGCCTGGTCGGTGGCCCGGCGTCACTGTCGCTCCAGACCCCCAGCGGGTGGCTGAGGCCGAGCCACCCCAAGGCCCATGTCTGACCCAGGCCACCGCCCCCTGGGCCGACAGTATCCGGACGGGGCAGACCCTTCTGGACACACAGGAATCCAGCCAGTCCCTCCTCCCCAGCATGAAAGGCCAGCCACTCCTGCAGAAAAGAACTCAGGTTTATTTGTGGTAGAAACCGTGGTCTGAAAAAAAACCTATTGGCAAATGTACAGTTTGCGTTGTGTTTGGGGTCCCCACCAGCTGCGGGACCCCCAGATCCCTGACCCACATGCGTCGGGCTCCTAAGTGTTCACAGCTAATCTCAGGCCCCAGGTCCGAAGCCCCGCCAGAGGGCGTCCCATCTCCTGCTGCAACCACCCGCGTCCCAGCCTGTGCCCGGCCCTCCTCCCCTGCTGCTTCCTGCAGTGCAAAAACTAACCCAACCAAGACAAGCTCCCTAACACACAAAAACAAAGCAAAACAGTCACAAGAACCAGGGTTCTAAATTAGGTTTTCTCAGTGTCCTTCGTTATCACGACGCCTTGTTTCATGATGACCTCAAATATACATTATTTTCTTGCTATTATAAAATCTCTTCCTTATTATCCACAGATATATAATGGGAGTTTTGGAGGAAATAACTACCAACCTGTTTTTCCCTTAAAAAGCAAACGAGCCAAACCAAAACCAAAACGAAACGAAACAAGACCCTATAACAACATCAATAACAGAAACCAAAGCTTTTCCGACAACCGTAAACACGAAAGGCGCTGGCCGGCTGGTTTTCTCCCCTCCCATCCCGGGCTCACAGCTGGGCCAGCTGCGCCGAGGTCACGTGCAAAGTGCTGGGTGCACCCTGACAAGGATTTGGGTCTGCTCTCTCCGTGGAAAATCCTTCCTTCCCCCGCTTTGCCCACCGCCCCCAAATACAATTCTGTGACCCTCATTTCCCAAAAGCCTTTGCTGGCTGCCTTGTCTCTCCTGCCTGCACACGCCCTCTCAGACCCCTCCCCATCTCCTCCCCACGCCAGGATGCTGCTGTGTTGAGCTGAGGCTGGAGATCTCAAGGCTGACCTCAGAGGAACCCCAGGGTGCAGTGTGGCCACCAGCGCCCACCCCGGCAGGGGCCAGCCTTGGCAACGCCCGACCTCATGCAGCTGACCGAAGGGAAAGGGGGACCCACGAAGCCCACGCTGCACCCGTAGCTTTGGCACGGAACTCGGAGGGGACAGCGTCACTGGGTCTCAGGCGGCATCCGGGCGGAGAGAAGAGGGTCCGGCCAAGCCAGCCAGAGGTCAAGGGCCAGGCGGGGTGCGGAGGGCAAGCTCGGGGGTGGAGCTTCCCCAAGAGCACTGACTTCGGGCTGTGGCCGCAGGCCCTGTTTCGTGGGCTGCAAGAGCCCTTGGAAGGAAGACTTGCCGAGGGCTAGAACCGACATCTGTGCAAAGGCTGGGAAGACCCTCAGGGACCCCCCTGCAGGACACGGGACACCCAGAGAGCCCGCCTGCTTGGGGGCGGTGGCGGGGGGCCTCCTTCTGGAGAGGAAAGTGAACAGCAGAGACCAGGCCAGCGGAAAGCCCCGTCTGCTTCCCGCCCACGGGAGGGCTGGCAAACCATGTATCCACCTGGCAGCAGGACAGGACAGACACACACCAAGGGCTCAGGGCAAAGGACAGTACCACTGACTGGGGAGCGGGGTCGGCAGCTTCAAGGTTCCTGAGGCTCCCTCCCGAGAGAGCGGCCACCCCAGGGTCTCTGCACACCCCCGGTGCAGAGGGACAGCAGGAAGCCGGGGGGCCGCACAGGCCCTGGCGATGCTCCCTCCCTCTGTCCCCGAGCACAGCAGCCTGGCTCTGGGCCCTTCCGCCTCCCCCTGGGAGCAGCAGGGCGGAGGGTCCAGAGGCTGAGCGGAAGGGACCAAGGGGAAGGTCCCCAGCCCTCCCTGGGACAGCATATGCCATTCAAACCTAAGCTCCTGCAGGCCATCTCGACAGGACAAGGGCAAGGTGAGCTCTGGCCTCAGCTGTCACCCAGAGCCTGGCTCGGGACGCCACAGGCGCTCCCTCTACTCGGCACTCTGGTGGTGGCGGCCAAGCAGGGCTGGCCCAGATCTCCTGTATGTACAAGTGGCGTACCCAGGACAGGCCACCAAGGGCAGGCTGATGGTGGGACGGATCACATGTAGGGTTCTGAACACCCTCCCCATCCCCATGGGCTGTTGAAGACTGGAAGGTTGGCGGGCATTTCCCCTCTGAGTCTCAGAGCTGGAGACAGGCTTCAGCACCGGAGCGACTCTTCCAAGAAAATCGGCGAGTCCTGTCCGCGTCCTTGCTGTCACTGGATGCCCTCTTCTTCTACGTACGTTGAAGGAAACCAGCCGATCTGAGAAAGATGACAGACTCACGTTAAGAGTGTGTGAAGGGTGAGGGCAAGTGGAGGTCTGTGGAGGTGGGCGACTCTTTAAGAGACTGGCCTCCTAAGGCAGGCCCACCCCCAAGAGAGGCCCTGGAGAAGAGGCAGAGAGCCTAGCGGAGCCGAGGCCCAGGAGCAGGGGTGACCCTGAAATGCACCAGCCCAGAGCAGTTCAAGGCGACCTGCCCGCCAGCTAACTGCCCGCCAGCAAACAATTAAATCCTCTCTGGAGGAAAATAACATCATCCAGAGCCTCTATGGTCTTTTATACGCAAGCTCGGCATTTAATCAGGAACAAGTGACAGAAACTAAGAGAAAATGCAGACAGCAGAAACCAGTCTACAGGTCATCCAGATACTGGGGTCATCCATCAGGAAACGTAAGTGACTCTAACCTGTCTGTTTCAGAAAACTGATGAAAAAGCAGAAAATTTTCCCTGAGAACTGAGATCAGAAATCAAATGGAAATCCTAGAACTGAAAAATATAATGACTGAAGTTAAGAGCAGATTAGACAAAGCAGAAAAGAAGACTAATAAACTGGAAGAGAAGTCAGTAAAAAGTAATGAGATGGAAAACCAGAGAAAATGGATGAAACACACATAAAAATATTATGTGGGCCATGGTGAACAAGATCTACCATCCATGTGAACAGATCCCCAGGAGAAAAGAGAGAAAATGGAGCAGGTACACTATCTGAAGAAATTTCCAAAACTGATGTAGGACATCAAACCACACATTCAAAAAAATCTCTGCAAATCTCAAACAGAATGAATCCAGAGAAAACCATACATAGGCACAGTAGAGTAAAACCCGATGAAAAACAAAGACTTTTTTCCCATGGAGCCCAGGGGGGGGTAGTGCAGACACTTCCTCCAAAGGAATCACCATAAGGATGCTGATGGACTTTTCTACAGAAATGATGGAAGCCTGGTGACAATGGAATGACATCCTCGAAGTGCTGGAATAAAAGATCTGCCAGCCTAGACCTCTAAACCCAGTAAAAAATACCCTTCAAAAATGAACTCAATAAAATGGCTCACAAAAAGGAAGCAGGTCTCATTGGAGAGATGACGGATTGCTGGGGGAGAATGACCAAGCGGAGAAGAGAAAGCTTTTCCTTACAGTAGAACGCCCACTAATAAGTGTATAAAAAAAGATAGAAAATCACTATTCTCCACCGTGATAGAAATAACTGAATAGGCAAAATTCATCAATGAATGATAAGACGAGTAGGTGAAAGTTTGATGAGGAAGAGCCTGTTTATCTGATTTCAAAGTACTGCCCTGCACATTACTTATCAATTACAGTAAATTCAGAGTGGAGAAACTTGGCAGACATCACCTTAACCAAGTGATCAGAGTTAATGTCACAATAATGGGGCAAACAATAAACTTCTTGAAAGGACCCTACAGCCACCGAAAAAGAGAAAACATCCCCATTGTGGTGTTCCCACCAAAAAACACAACCTCGGTCTAATCACGAAGAAATATCAAAGAAACCTAAATTGAGGGATAGTCTACAAAAATAACTGGCCCATACTCTCCACATTGTCAAAGTCACGTAAGACAGAGAAAAGCTGAAGAACTGTCCCAGATTAAAGAGAGTTGAGGGTCATGGCAAGTAAATGCAATTCATGATCTAGGACCAGGGGAAAATAACTAGAGAAGACGCTATTGGGACAGTTGTGAAATCTGAATATGGACTGGGGAGTAGATAATTATAGCAAAGGGAAATGTCCTTGATCTTAAGAAATACACACTACAGTTCTTTAAGGGTAAAGCGCTATGATTTCTGCAATTGATTTCCAAATGGTTTAGAGAAAAATAAGTGTGTACACACACACACTTACAGAGCGAGAGAGAGAGAGAGAAAGCAAATGAGAAACCAAATGAACAAACCATTCTTAATTGGTAAATTTGGGCATATGGGAGTTTTTGTAGGACTGCTACTTTTCTTTAAATTTGAAATTATATCAAAACAAATTACAAATATTTTATAATGAAAACATTTAAAAAAGAAAGTGAAAGAAAGATGTGTTCAGATCCAACAAAAACTGAGAATCTCTAAGTAGCAGACTTGCACTAAAAATCATACTAAGAGGGAACTTCAAGCACCAGGAATGTGGTTTTGATTGTGTGTCTGACAATGCAGAAAGAAATGAGGAACCCTGGGAAAGGTAAAGAGGTAAGTCTAAAGGAAAATTAACTGCTTAAAACAAAAATAATGTCTTACGGGGTTAAAAAATGTCAAATTAAGAAACATGACAACACCTGCCCAGAAGTTGGAAGGAAAATGAATACAGTCAAAGGGCGTCCGGTCCTTGCATTGTGTGGTAAGTAGTGAAAGTACTAATTTAAGGTGGTCTGTCAGAAATCAAAGTGTACATTGAACCTCTAAGGTAACCACTTAAGTAACAGGAAAAGAACGTGTAACTAACAAACTAAGCAAGGGGGGTGAGAAGTGGAATAGAAAAACTGACTAATCCGAAAGTCGGAAAGAAAGGACAACAAAGAAGGAATAGATGTGAAGAACAGAAAATAAACAGATGATACATTTAAATCTAAATATCTCAGGAATTACATTAAATGTAAATGGACTGCCTATACTGATCAAAAGGTCAAGGCTGTCGATCAGACTGGCTTGTAAAAGTCCATTTATAATAAGATTTTGTCATCTATCTTAAATGTAAGAATACAGCAAAGCTGAAAGTAATACAGGAAAGAAGAAAGTATGCCATGCAAAACACTAATCCCCTCAAAAAGCTGGTGTCTCTCAAACAGCGGGAAAAGCAGACTTCACAGCAAGAAGAACTGCGACATTTCATAACAGGGTTCCAGTATCAACAACAGGAATATCTAGCAACACTCTAAACCAGTGGTTCTAAAACTGAACGCTGCATCAAAATCACCTGGGAAACTGGCTGACAGCATGACTGGGGTGAGGGCCCAGCTCCAGGCGCCTCTTGGCACTTTTGAGAGCTAGCAGTCCCAGCCCTCTAGGTGGACTGCCTAGGACTCAGAGGCCTCACACTTCTGAAGGGCTGTCAGATGGAAAAAGGATCAGACCCAAGGGCCTCCAAGGTAGAGGCAGACCAGTTCCTTCCACCCAGCAATGGAATGGTAAGTGACGGGAGCCAAGTCTGTGGGCAGCTGCAGCCCCTGCAAAAACTGGACGTTTCCTAATCGGTGCTTTGTGGAGCCCAGGCACCCTGTCGGGTGACTGCCAATGGAACTGGTCAAAGCCAGGGGGTCCAGACAGGGTACCAGGATAAGGAGCCGTGGGGTTTCAGAGTCGCAGGCTGGCTGGGGACACTGTGTGTCCCCTCCCATCTCACCAAGGTGTAAATGGGGTCTTATGGAATGGCAGGAGCCCTGTGAGGACATCCCGACCCTACTCTCAGTCCTGCAGCCTCCCGGCCTGCAAAGAGGGTTGGGCACGTGCAAGGGACTTAAAGACAGCACCCAACATCTGTCCTCTGCCGTTTCCACAACGGACCGTAAAATAGGACCAAGCACAGATACAGCGTCAGACAGGCCGGGGTCCAGATCTGAGCCAGGAAGTCGCTTCCTCACTGTGACCTTGGCTCACGGAACCTGGGGACACCCAACCTCCTGGGCGCAGTCAGAGGGCACGGGGTCGGGGCAAGGTGGTGCTGCGGTGCCAGCCTGCCGGATCCCCACCTTCCCGAGCACCACAGGGAGGCGGAGCCCCCGTGGGGCCCAGGACCCAGGGCCGGTCCCACTCACCCGGCCGTTGGTCTCGCCCTTCCACCAGCCCTGGTCCCCACCGATGCGGCTGTAGATCTTCACCACGTCGCCTTCTCGCAGCGAGAGCTCCCGCAGGTCCCGGGCAGCGAAGTTGTACCTGGCCACGGCCGTGCCGATGACGCGGGGCGTAAACACTGCTGGAGGGAGACGGGCGGTGTCACACAGCTGCCAGGCAGGGCCGCCAGGGCTGAGGGTCCTTCGGGCCGAGCTGGGTCTCTCTCCCGGGGCCCAGCCCTGTGCCCACAGAGGAGCCCATGGAGCAGAAAGGCTCTGGCGGGACAGACCAGGCTCCAATCCCAGGGCCCCTCGCTCCTCTGTGGGCGCCCCAACCTGTGGGCACGTGGCCCACCCGAGCTCCACCGTGATTAAGTCAGAGCCTCACCGCCCCACGGGGGGCCGTCACGGGCGGCGAGCGTGCCCACGGGGATACGAGCGGGTGTCAGTGCTCTGTCACAGCTCCCTCGGGGCCTTCCCCCGTGTGCCCAGGGCCTGGGCATCACATGGCCAGTGGACAGCTGAGTGCCCGCTGCCCAGCTCCCAGCCTGCAGTCTGACAAAGTGCCTGGAATTGGACCCCAGGGCACTGCCGCCCGACTTCCCTCGTGTCCCCAACTCCAGAGCCCAAACGAAACCGGAAAGCCGGTTGGACCAGCTTGGCCCGGGACCCAGGAGTCCTGACGGACAGATGACAATGGCCTGTGACGGGAGGGGCAGCACATGCGGCTGCTGGGGAGGGCTCTGCCTCTGGCAGTAGAGGGCCGTGCGGTCAAGGCCAGTCGAGACCTGTCCCCCTGCACCCAAGCCCCACAGGTCCTCCTTAGTGTCGCCGAGTGGGGCCCGCCCCGGGTCTACTCCCACCTTCACCCCGAGGGGGTCGCCCAGCTGTTTGCTGCTGCCAGACGCAAAGCTCCCGGGGAGCAACGGGGGACAGTGGCTGATGAGCTGGAGAGGGGTCGTGGGGGTGAGCATGGCAGGGGTGAGGGCAGCGCCAGGCCGGACTGTGTCTGCAGGAGCTGCGGCAGCCCTGCCCCCCGCGCCCCCGCCACTCCCCTCTGCACACACCCGCCCCGCCCCGCCCAGGCTGCGGGCAGCTGCGGACACTTTCAGGCCGGGGCCGTGGCCCGCCAGGCAGCTGGCGGCAGGCCGGGCCCCCCACGCCCCGAGCAGCAGAGGTACCTGGCCAGAAGGGCACGGAGGAGCCCTGAGAAGCAAGGCTGAAGCCCTGAGGACTGAGAAAAGAAAAGTTGTAGGAAGCGCAGGAAGCTGCAAAGAGGCGAGAGAGACTGTGAAAGGGGGGCCGGGGAGCATCCACATGCCGTCCCAGACGCGGTCCCAGGCGGCGGGGAGGGGGCCCAGGCCCCGCCCAGGGCACCAGGAGGGCAGCGGGACGGCGCGGGCCCTGGCTCCACCTCCTGCACCTGTTTCCTGGGCCACCTCCTCCCAGTGGGCGGGCTCACGCGAGGATACAGGAAACTATTCGTGCAGATCACAGCCCCTCGCCCGGCACACAGTAGGTGCTCACTAAAGGCCCGTCGTTCCTCTCCTGGCCTGCTCTGCCCCCGTGGGACCCGAGGTCCTGCGGGCCCCTGCAGCTGGAGGAAGTGGGGTGGCTGGCTCCGAGGCAGAGGCCTGGGCCGGATGCCAAACACCCTGGGCCCAGGCTGCCCCTGCCCCCAGCTGGCTCCCATCTGCGCTATGTATGGAGCCCCATCTGCAAACAGAGGTACTGGCTCTGGCTCCCTCGTAGCTGGGGTCCCTGGGCGGGGCGGGGGGGGGGGATGCTGGGGCACAGGGATGGATTTGAGGACAGAAGGGACCTGCCCTGTTCCCTCCCCACTCTGACCTCCAGGCAGAGGTATCGAAACTCGGAGCAGCAATTCATAGCTGGCACCCCCCACCTGTCACATGGGGCCGCCCTGGCACCCTGGCTCAGGAGGGTGCTGGTGAAGGGCTGGGGGGCCTGGGCCACTGCTCCCCGGGGTGGGAATAGGGAAGGGGCTCCTGGCCGAGGTCAGTGTAGCCCACCGGAAGCCTTCCGCGCACGGGCGTTACCTGGGGACCGGCTGGAGGCCCTAGAGGCCACGCGTTCCCGTGACTTGTAGGGGTACTTGAGCGTGGTGTCCAGCTGCTTGAAGCTCTCCTTGAGCGAGTGGCACTGGTAGTACTCTACCAACTCCTGCAAGACGCACACACTCACTGCTACCTCCGCCTCCGGGCAGTCCTCCCAGACGCCCTGCCCTCCCTCTCCCACCTCCCCAGGTTCTCACAGGGGACTCATCTCCTTGACACCCGAAAACACCCCTCCTCCTCGCTGCCCCTCCTAGAACCCAAACTGGGGGCAGGGTGGTCAGTATCGCAAACTTTTGATCCTGCAATTTCTCTCCCAAAAGTTTCTAAGGGAAGAGTCAGGGAAGAAGGCCGGGATTGATGGACACAAATGCTCCCTGCGACACTCTTCGTAATGGAGAAACAGTTGATACGCCCACACGTTCAACACCAGGGAAGTGCCTCGAGAAAATCCCAGCATATTCACGTGACCGAATGCCACGTGGCTACAGTGGGGCAGGAAGAGGGTGGTGCCCCTGGTGAGCATTCATTGTGTTGAGAGGTAAACTAAGAGTTGGGTCCAGTGTGACCAGGGGCTTTGTTTGAAAAAAGAACCTATAAACCACACCTAGGCTCTACTTAGAGGCGGTGGGGGTTCACCCTGAGACGAGAACATCAGGTTTGGGGGCAGACTGTGGATACTCTCTGTTTTACTGGGTGTGTTTCTGCGGCCGCAGTGGGCAGTCTAAGAGCTCAAATGCTCCAGTTAGATGTTCTCCGTGCACGGAACAAGCGTAATTTAGCAAAGAAACACCAGGTCCAACTTTAAAATCATTTTAAGAAGGACTATGCCTCTCGCGGCTTTCTGGCTGGGCTGGGACAGCTGGGGGTAGGGGCGTTGGAAGCGGATGGGCTGTGATGCTGGTGGCCCTACTGTGTCCACCACGGGGTTTGGGGGACAGAAGCCTGACTCGGGGGCCTGCGACGAGGCCCTCCCTGTCCCAAGGTGCCCTACAATCCAGTTTCCCTGGATCTTTCCCACACTGGGAAGACTCTCCTCCCCGGGGAGACGAGGGCCCCTGCTGGGCTCTCCCCCTCTGCAAGCCCGGCCCGCAGGAGTGGGTGCAGGGGGCCCCTCCTCCTCGGTGTGGCTGCAGTGGGGGACCTGGGGCCTCCTACCCCCCTCGGGGATGGGCCGGCTGGAGCTGCGGGATCACGTACTGAGAGGCTTTCAAATTTCTTGGCTTCGGTGATGTGCACCCAGCTGTCCTTCTCCACCACCTTGATGTGTTTCACCTCGTCATTGAATCTGGGCAGAGCACACGGGAGCGCCGGTCACTACGCGAGCCACACGGCCCCCGGCCCCCCAGGGGTCCAGGCTTATTGTATGTTTGCTGAGCGAAGACCCCGGCCCTCGGCCCACACCTCCTGCTCCTATGGCTGCCACCTCTCTCCCCGCCCCGGCCGGGGCCTGTCTCCTACCGCTTGTCCATCCATCCACCAGGCCACCCGTCTGAAGCCCAAACTCCTGGGTCAGCCAAGGCCTCAGGCCCCGAAGCTCCCCTCCTCTCCTCCATCCAGCGCCGCTGTGATGTCCTGCCCCGGATTCCACCTGTTCTCTGCACTGGGGACGTCCCCCTCCCCATTCCCCCATCACCTGGTGAGCCTTTCACAGCATGGTTTGTAAGTCAGAGGTCTGACCTTGGCCTGTGAGACCCGAAGGGAGCACCCTCACCCCAGCTGGCCCGAGGAGCTCTTCCTCAGACACGCCAGGCACAAGCCTGCCATGCCCTGGCACTGGCTGTCCCCTCAGCCCAGAATGCTCACCCTCTTGCCACCCTCACGACCCTGCCTTGTGTCCAGGTCTCAGTTCAAATGTGGTCTCATTGGAGAGCGTGCACCCCTTGCCTCCGAATCACAAAGCCACACAACGACACCACAAGTAAAGAAAACGACACGCCAATATCCCCTATGACGATGGAGGCACGAGTCCTCAACGCACTCTCTCCATATGCACATCTATACACACCAACGTATAAAGAGGCCTTTACACCACGACCGAAAGGGACACTCCAGGAATGCAAGGCTGGTTTAACATCCGGAAACCAGTTAATGGAATAAACAGTTGTTAAATAAGCAAACGCCCAGCTGGCCAGCCTCCTCTCCCGTGGGGCCTTGGAGAACACCTACCACTCTGTTTCTCCTGGAATTCAAAGTGAGCTGAGCGTGCGCAGCCCCACCCCAGCTCCTTGGACAAGACCCGTCTGAGCCCCACTCCAGAATCCTGCGGGCCAGGCACCCAGAAGGTGCTCCACGAATTCCTATCAGGCGAGAGACGCCTCTGCCACTTCACTGCTTGGTGCTCCCAGTCTCTCTCACAGGCCTGCCAGCACGCCTCACGCGCCACTGACCTCCCAGGGCCCTGCTGAGACTCTCACTGCGGGAGGCCCCACCTGCACTGGGTCACACACCTTACGATGCTCCCACCACCCACGGCGGATACAGCTGATCTCTGCTTGAGAGCAAGTCCTATGTACCAGGTGACCCAGGTTGTGCCCAGCTGACATTCACTAGACATCTGTCACTTTCAAGGCTGCAGGTGTCCTTTGGTTTTTGTATTTTAGAAAAGCCAGCGCATTTGTTTCAGGCCCAAACATTAGTGGGGCCTCTTGGAAAGCCCGTGGGGACCATCGCAGTTTGTCTACCTAGGTGGGGGTCTCGTCCTCAGTTCTGGCTCCTCCTAGCTGCCCAGATCCCGACCCCTCCAGCTTTTCCACCCCAGGGGTCCTCCAACAGCCATTCTGTACAGTGGGACCCTGTCCTGGATGACCAGGGCATGACCATCTGCAGCCTCCCAGTAACGCAGGAAGGGGATGGGGGTACGTTCACGCACGTGCACACGCGCAGGCACGCTGGCCGGCGGCACGTGCTCAGGCCGGGACCCGCGCCCTGCTGCTGGGGCGCTCATGCCCTCGGCCCCCACTGGGCACAGATGCAGAGAAAGCTGATGCAGGGGGCGGGAGAACAAAAGCTGAGATGGAAAGATGGGAGTGGGCTGTGTGCTCAGGACCTGGGTGCGGCCCACTGAGCCCGGCTCCCGTCTGCCCCTAACAGCCAGAGGCGCTCCTGCATCTCCTACCGAGAGGGCCTCTCTGCTCCCTCGCGTTGGCTTCTGTGACTCGATACCAGAAGCACCCAGGCGGTGACTCTGTGGCCGTCCGGTGGCCTGGTCGCTGGGCCTGCCCCACCCCCCACCCAGCACCCACCCAGCAGACCCGAGGGGGCCTTCCCTGGATACAGGTCACCCTGCTGGGGGCTCTTGACCCCATCAAGGTCACGGCAAACCAGAACCCTCTATTCACCGGCCTGAGACTCCTGTCCAGTGTGTGTCCTATGCCGATGGTGACCAATGACCAATCAGATTCTGTCTCTTGAAGAGAAGACAGAAGACCCACAAGGGGGCAGAGTCTGAGCAGGGTGACCCCAGCCCAAAGGCCACGGGCTGGAGCCCCGAGCTGGCAGCAGCGTGACGGCCCGTGTTCTCCAAGGCCACCTGCGGGGCCGCTGGAAGTCCCTGACCTCTCACCACAGGCCTGTCCCCATCCCTGAGCTCCTCTGGTCCCCACCACCTGAAAAACGCCAGACCAAGCCCACGGGGCGGCTTCGGGCAAGGCCGACGGCAGGCCGGGATCACTCACGCTTGTCCCGGGCCAGGTGCATTGTGCAGACCCGCTGACGCCCTTGCATCTCAAAAGTGCCCTGGCGTGGGCAACGCATCCCAAGGCCACACCCAACAAGCCCAGAATCCGGAGGGGGTGTGGGCTCCTTGGCTCGGAACGGCATGAGGGGAGGGGTCTCTCTGAGCCCCAGGCTCCACGTACTTGATGCTTATGGCAAAGCGCTCGGCCTCGGCCGGCCGCTCCCTGATTAGGTAGGTCCCGCTGGCGTGGGATTTGAGCAGGTTGTCGGTCTGCTGCCGTTCCATGTTGCCGGCAAACCTGGAGCAGAGGGGGAAACGGGGGCTGTTCACTGACACGGCTCTAATCTGCCGAAGAGCCTATTGGGACGTGAGGCCACGCCCCCAGGAGGAGGGGCGAGCAGTGGGCGGGGTCTGGAGGAGACGCGCGGGGCGGGGCATCCGCGTGCCCGCTCACAGCCCGCACAGGGAAGGTGGCTGGGGGAGAGACGAGGACCCCAAACAGGCCCCAGACACTCCACCGCGGCCTCCACCCTCCAGAACCTTGGGCCTGCAGGAGGCGTTCAGGGTAACAAGACATTAGATCAAACTTCCTTTCCAAGTTGTCATTGTTTAATAAGCAGCGATAAACACAAACTGCTCATGGGGGGTTTTGTTCTGTGTCTAACATACTGGAGACCATCAGCATCTCCGTGGGTGGGTTTCCGACACACTGACTGAAAGCTTTTCTCGCCAGCTCTATGGAAATGAAGCCCACCCCGACCCCCAACCTCAAGAACAAAGCCTGACCCCATTTGCACCTCCCTGTCGGGCTGAATTGGGACTTTTGTAAACAGATTCATTAGAAAATTAAAGTTCTGTGCGTTATCCCATCAAGTGAAAATCACAGCTTAAGTCCTCCACCCTCCACATTAGGCCCAAACGCAGGGTGAACAGCGTACTGGAACGGACCCAGGGGTCTCAGAGACCCAGATGGGGCGGTGCCGGGGAGGCCAGGGACACCGAGGGTGCAGGCACATCCCACCACTGGGCACAGGGGTCCCGGGGTGGCTTCAGGGATCAACCCCAAACCGAAAACCACAAGGGCAGACCCTCCCGGGGTCGAGCGGCCCACTGCCCTGGGGCTGCCACAGGGCGAGCTTCTGCAGGGCCATGGTCACTGAAGGGCAGTCATTCTTCCAGGCAGCCGGTGAGCCAGGCGGCAGAGCGGTAAAAGCTGGCCCCGAGGCCGACCTGCATCTGAGACTCGTACCTACCGCGTCACCTCCACGTTTTATTCATCAAACAGCCCCACTGCTCTCATCAAGCCCGTAGGAGCAAATACAATTATAATTTTGGCCTTAAATATACCTCCTTCTATATACTGGTATTTTAGACAAGGCTCAAGTAAGATCACATTTTAAAAAGGGCTTTGTTCTCCCAAATGTTAGAACCTGATGATCTGTTTATAGACGGGGGAAACAGCGGCCTCGGGGTAGAGAAGACTGCCCCGGGGCTCCCAGCGATTCAGAGCCGAGGAGGGGAGAAGGCGGCCGCGTGCAGCCTGGCTCAGCTGCCCTGGAGACACAAGAGGCAGCCTGGGGCCCCCGCTGATCCACTCACCAGGGGTATGCGGTGTAGTCCATATCCCGGGATGGCGGCCGGCTGATGGGCGGCTGGCAGGAGAGAACATTCGGGTTGGTGTATCCCCAGGCACTGTCCACAGAGCAGGGCCCAGCGACGTCCTATGATCAATGACCCCGGGAGCCCAGCACTGGCTACCAGGACGTCTGTGGACTTAGGCCCAGAGCCACCGTCCTGGGAGGTCCCTGAGGGCAGCAGCCAGGACTCACCATCTCTGAGTAGACGCTCAGTGGGTCTGATCGAATGAATGATTGATTGACTGACCGAATGAATGAATATATAGCATCCAACTAACAGTGCAGTGTAAGGAGAAAGAGAGCAACCTGAAGGCGGCTACGACGGCTCAGCAGTGGACAGGAGCACACCCTATACCTCGCATCCCCTGCAGCGGATGGGCCGCAGCCCCAAGGACAGGCATTGGGCGGGCAGCAGCCGCTCTGCAGGTGGAGAGCCGCGTCTGCAGCAAACCTCGCGGCTCTCCAGACCCCGCGCTGCGCCCTCGCTGGCCTGACCTCCCCTCACTGGGCCACAGGCTGGGAAGAGCCTCCCAGACTACCTGTCCCTTCCCCACCCCATTCACCATGCAGATGGGGAAACTGAGGGCCAGGGTTGGGAAGGGACCCTGAGGGACCCCCTGCCCCCCCGCAGGCCACCCAGTGAGTTAGTGACATTTTCTTCCTCTGCTGTCTGGTCCCTTCGACCTGCCAGCAAAGCCTGTCCTAAAATGCTTTCTCCTTCGACTGGGCAATGGCCTGCACAGAAGCACAGGCTGGGCGGTGGGGCCAGAGGCCGGGCAGGGCCCGGTAGGTGGACCGGGGCTCCCAGGGGGTCGGGCACCTGTCTGCTGCTCCTTCGGGAGAAGTTTCACTCTCTCACTTTTAGCTTTTTCTGGGGTGTGTGTGGGTGACGCAATTGCTGGTTGACAGCTCGATGCCTTTTGTAACAGAGCAGAATCTGCGCCACAGTGCTCAGATGCAAGAAATGCCATACTGCCTCTTTTCTAAACATCGTAACATCTAGCTCTGAGTCCTTATGTTCGAGGGAGAAGACTTATAAAGTCCCTCCAGTGTGGAGAAAGGCGGCTGGTCTTTGGTCCATTGCACCTGCTGCAGAGATGCCCATTTTAGTGTTTTTAAAACAGCCAAGCCCTCCGAAGAGGAGGGATCCCCTGCCCCTTGGCCCTTCATCCCAGCTCCGGGGCCAGCTCACAACGGCCTGAACAAGTCCAGGGCGTCCTGAGTGAGGAGACAGCTCTCAGCACCCACGGCACCCTGGCCACCATGCTCCAGGAGCTTCCATGGGAAGTACTCACCCTTCCATCCACTGGACAGGGCTTCACAGACGAGCTAGGGAAGTAACCTGACTTCCTGGTTTGCACCAACCGACCCTGGGAGAGGACAGATGGTCAGGGCCGGCGGGGCCTGGCCTGGCCAGTGGTGGGGGGAGGGGGCATTGTAGTGTGCACTCAGCTTGTCCTGAGGAAGACGAGGGGAGTCCCTGAGAAGCCCAGCACAGCACCACCTTCCTGCTGTGACCTCAGCTGACCTCATCACCGTTTGGGGCGCCCTCACTTCACAGATGAGGACACGCTGAGGCCCAGAGAAGTTACACGGCTTGTTCGGCACTGGGACCAGAGCCCCCTCTCCTGGCTGCTGTTTCCTCTTAGCCACACCGGCCCTCCCCAAACTGTGAGGGGCGTGTGGACCTGGGGGTCTTGATAAAACACAGCACAGCGTGGGAGGGCCTGGGGGTGGCTGTTCACTCTCTCTGCTCGCTCTGCCTGGAAGACCCTCCCAAGGCCTTCCCGGCCCCCACTTTCACGTCAGCAAACCCAAACCTGATGGCCCTGGTGACAGCTAGGGAGGGGAACTGGGTGGCTGGGGTCAGCGCGGGGCAGACGCTGTACTGCAGACACCTTCTCAGCTCCTGAATCTCCAGTTACATGAGGCCGAGTCTGGTGCGATAAATCCGTAAGTAAGTACGTGCTGACAAGGACCACCACACAACAACGACGGCAGTAACAGTACTTGGACACTTGAACACACGCACTATAGCATCCGCTCTAAGCAGGTCGCCCCGGTCACGCAGCCTGGGCAAGTGCCCCGGTTTCCTGCGGTACCACGTAGACCCCGTGGACTGGGGCTTGGCAGATCTCGGAGCAGCACCGATGGCTCCCCTTTCTCAGGCCTTATAATCAGAGCAGCAGGTTTCATGGCTCAGAGCCGTAAACCATCACATGGACCTGTGTCCGTGTTTGGGCCTCCTGGGGCAGGGCGGTGGGCGGGTCTCGGTCATGCTGCACCCCCAGTGCTGAGCAAGGTGGTGCTGGCCTGAACTGGGGCAGGTGGGGAGCAGGGTGGGCGTGGCATGGCCTGGGCAGGGCCTGGGGTGTGTGTGTGTGCAGGACATAACCCAGGCGGAAGGCAGACAGGGAAAGGGCTTGGACGCCAGGAGGACGATCTCTTCCGTGAGGGGATGCTGCACTCCCTACCACCTCAACGCAAACACCCCAAGACCCGGGCCCTGCTAACAGCCCACTCCTGTCGACCCCGATGGTCTCGCACCCCAAACCTACCCCTGCCTGGAAATGCAGGACCCTCTGCCTCTACCCTGGGGAGTGGGGACGGGGTAGCCGGGGGCCCGAGACCCTCCCAGGTCCAGGACCCACCTCCCACCACTGAGACTCAGGGTCGCCTCTCAGTAGCTCAATCACATCACCCGTCTGGAAGGTCAGCACCGGCTTCCCGGGGGGAGCAGGGTTGCCATGGTAATTCTGCATGGCCACCATCTTGGGACCTGCGAAGGACAGGGCAGGAGAGGGCGTGGCTCGGTGGCTTCGTCCTGGTGGCAGCCCACCCCAGGTTGACCTTGACCTCCCCGGCCTTCTCAGACCTCTCCAGACCTCTCGGGGCTCTTGGAAGCAGGCCATGGGCCTGTATCGCCCCTCCCTAAATTCTTCCCGTAAGGCTCCCACGTCCCTTTGTTACACATCGTAAGTAAACTATTTACGAGATTAACAGATTCAGGGTATTATTGCAGTAACGGCAACTTATTTTTAAAGAGCGCTTTCTGTGCCGTCATCCAAACACCTTTCGAAGCAGCAGCATGGAGTAGAAGACGGGGCACCCATCCTGTTAGAGGTAGGGGCCGGGGTCAGCGACCTGCCAAGGCCACACAGCCACTCCGGGGCAGCCCTGGGCTGATGGGGGGGCCCGCCTGAGCCCCCCCCAAAACTTGTAGGCCTCTCCTAGACCGTGCCCTGCTCTGACCGGCCCAGCCCTGCATGGGCCGCGTCTGCCAGGCCTGGTTCCTGAAGCTGGTGCCCCAGAGGCAGCAGCATGGTTTCTCTTTTCTGTTTTCATGATTAGGTTGGACTCTGTCCGCAGCTCGGGCTGCCTCATACCTGGTGCTTTCAGTTCTCCTGCTACCCAACGCAGAGCAAGGGGGACGTGGGGGGGACGGAGAAAATGGTAAAGTAACAGCAGCAGTGTCCCAGAGTCTGCTCTGCTCGGGGTCTCCGGGCTGCAGCTCAGGGCTTCTACTGGGCTGAAGGGACCCTGACTGTCTGCAGGCTGGGCCCTGGCCCCATGCCTGGCGCTGCGTCATCAAAAACTAAGGAAGCTCCCAGGGGAAGTGGCCGTGGAGGTGGGAGGGAGATGGGGCCGGAGGGCAGCACACACCCTGGGAGCCCGGAGCCAGGTGGCAGACACCGCGGCCAGGCCCAGGCTCGGCTCCCAGGGTGACCGCTGACAAGGACGGTACCAGAGAAGACCCAAGTCCCACAGACTCACCTGGCCCCGCTCCAGAGGTGTCCTGTGAGAGCAAGGACAGAGGGCAGTGAGGAGGGAAGGCTGCCCAAGCATCCCACACCCCCTGCCCCCACACCCAGAGGGAAGGGTCAAGGCAGGAAGCGGGGAGGGGGCCAGGGACACGTCCTGAGCGCCCACGGGCATTTGTGACACTATTTCCCTGTGTGACACGATTTCCCTGTGTGACACGATTCTTACTTACACCCTCCACCTTTGTACCCCTCCGCAGCCCTGGGACATCCGTCCTCTTCCCCTCCCATCCCTTACCAGTAACTCCCACCTCCTCCAGGAAGCCTGCCCTGACCACCCCAGCCCAGGGCCTCCCTGCTCAAAGCTTGGGGTTTGTCGTCTCCGTCCGGGACGTGTCCTGCTGCATACACTAAATGTTCTGTCTTCCCTCCTCTTTGAGGGCATCTCTGTAGCCCACGCAGGGCCCAGTAAGAGCCCGTTACATGCTGGTTAATTTGACTGGACCCCCACGGCTGGGGAGAGAAACGACGTCCACAACCCATAAGTGAATTCAGTGACTCCGTCCCCAAGTCAGCTGAAGAGAGGCCTCTACGTCTATCAGGATGGGGGGCAGGTGGGCAGACGCCTGTCACAGAGCTGGGCACCCACAGCCGCCAGCAAGCCACTGGGCAGGTGGAACGGGTGGGCAGCCGGGCAGGGGGAAAGCTATCAGGGCCCAGGAGGCCATGCACAGGGACCCATTTCTACTGACGACCACGAAGGAAAACAAAGGCCCCTCGAAACCAACAGGGGCTCTGCAAGCCGGCCTGGCCCCAGAAGCGTGAGGGCCGGAACGTTGGGTCTTTCCGGCTCCAGGCACGGGGTGGTATAGGGTGCAGGGCAGCGGGAAGGGAGTGGTTTGGGGGACTCACCAAGTCTGCAGGAGAACCTGAAAAGGAAGCACATCGGGGTCAGAGCCGCTGGGCGCGCCCGCGTGTGTGAGCGAGGTGAGCTCCAAGGCCCTTCCTTTCAGACCTGGATTACGGACATGCGTGCTCGGTGACCGCGAAAATCTCTCGATTACTTCTGATGGCGACTTCTGAGCTCTGGTTTTAGGGGCCCCACGGGAGAACACGCACTGGGTATCAGACCCAGTGGCAAACAGGTTTTCCTGCATGAGCCAACTCTGCTCCAACGGCAGCTACTGCCTGATCACTGGACAGAACCTGGGCTCAAAGGGAAGGTTTCCACAATTGATTAGTGATGCCTGCCGTGGGCAAATGACAGAAGACGTGGTAGTCGTGCTACTCTATTTGTCAGCACCTCGGACATGGGACACCTCAGCTCATCAGATGGAAGGCAAACATTCTAAAGATTCTTTCTGCCTGCCCTGGGGCGACCCAAGGGGAGAACACAGCTCCAGGCTGGGCCCCGGCCATCTGACAAGCTGAGCTGCCACTCCACCACAAGACAAAACAAGCACTATAAGGGCTAACGTGTGGCTGATGTGACTTCGACACCGTCTAACACACGCACAGTCGCAGCCTGCTTTGCGCAGACATAGGATCCGACAGACCCTGCAGATCAGAGGTTACAGGCGTCAGGCATCAGGCACGTGCCCTTGGGGGAAGCACACGCTCCTTAAAATAAAAGCAGGTGCCCACACGGGCTCTCAGTGACACGGGGAGGGTGCTGATGACTTCAGCTTTCGAAAGATGTGCAATAGCCTAAGTGGTAAAGCCTCAACTACACACATCATGAAAAACACAAAAACCTAAAAAGAGACAGGGGACGGGGGCGGGGGCATTGCAAAAAAGGGAGAAGGCAGGTGATGGCTAACGGCAGCTGTTTTTGCCTGGTGTGACAAAAACCAGGATCGCTTTCATCTCCCTTACTTTTCTCTATATCTTCTATGGGAAATGGGTATTTAATAATCAGAGGGAAAAGGAAACAGAAAGATTATTTAAAAATAAGAAAACTTGGGCTTCCCTGGTGGCGCAGTGGTTGAGAGTCCGCCTGCCGATGCAGGGGACGTGGGTTCGTGCCCCGGTCCGGGAAGATCCCACATGCCGCGGAGCGGCTGGGCCCGTGAGCCATGGCCGCTGAGCCTGCGCGTCCGGAGCCTGTGCTCCGCAACGGGAGAGGCCACAACAGTGAGAGGCCCGCGTACCGCAAAAAAAAAAAACAAGAAAACTTGACAGGAAATACACCAGAATATCACCTTTGGTTATTTCTTAATCTGTTCATAAGTGATAATTATTTTCTTCTTTTATTTCATTTCTCCTCTTTTTTTTCCTCTAAGTTTTTGATAAAGAAGTATGTTACTTTTAAGATCAGGAAAAAATGTCAGAAGAAATGAACTGTCCAGTCGCTTGACGCAAAGGACACATGGCCACAAGAGGGCGGTAGCCATGGGCGAAGCTGAAAAGCTGCGTCGGGGCCAGTCAGGGCCGGCAGCACCCTCTAGCCTGGAGGAGACTGGCAGGGTCGCTGAACTTCCACCGGGCCGGAGTGGGCTGCATCGGGCGGGCCTTGGTGGGGACGAGGGGGTCTGGGCTGACCTGTCGGACCCTCCTCCCAGATCAGGGCACTGGACCAGCAGTCACAGTAAATGAGGAATTAACAAACTCTCCTACTCTGGGTGGTGGTGTCTCGGGGGACGAGCAGGCCCGGCATGTTTCCCTGTCTACCTGGAGCGTGGTTAACCCGCTCTGAGCACAGCTCCCCTGAGTGTGGATGTCAGCATAACAGCCCCATTTCACGGGGATGTCGGAGCACCTGGGCCCCATGAAGCAGGGCGAGCAGCGTGGTGCTTGGCGGGTGCCCCATGCCCAGATCCAGAGCTCAGCCAGCCCCTGACCGTGGCGGCTTTGAAACCTTTCAGAACCATCTCAGGCTTTCCGGCGGCCCGTCCAGCTGCTCTAGGCTGGGCCCTCCCCCAACTCATCCCCCAAACCAAGATGATTGACAGGAGCCTCAGGCTTCCCCCATCTGAGGCAAAGGGGAGCACAGTAGGTGCCATGCACACACGTGAACCATCTACAAACAGGGCTGTCGCTAAAGAGGGCCGGGCCTCTCCAGGGCGGGGGAACCCAGGGGTGAGGTGTTCCTCTGCGGTCGGAAAGCTCCATGCAACTGCCAGGAATGTTCTGTGCCCTCTGCGGGGTGGAGATTCTAGAGGCTTACAACTGCAGCACGGCAGGGGGTGCCCAAGAGGCCGAGAGAAGCCAGCCAGTATGCAGTTAGGAAGAGGGCTTTGCCATGGAATCCCCGCAACCGCTCCGGCTGGGCCTTTTGACACAGTGTGACCCGGGGCCGGCGTCCTCCCCTCTCTGAGCCTCTGTTTCCTCATCTGGTCCCTGCCCCATGGGGTCACCATGGCAGGAAAGGAGAATGTGGGAACACTGCCAGAGCCGGCAGCTACGAGGGATGACGGGACCCTCGGCTCGGGGTGTGTCGTGGGACCCTGAGGATCAGCCCCCAGGGCCCGTGCCCCACGGGGAGGGCGGGGATGGGTACTCACTGATCTTGCAGGGAGGGGTCACCTCCAGGCACTCCTTGTGTGCCCCGACGCCACACTTGGTGCACAGGTAACCCTGGTAGAAGGTGCCTCTGCGCCAGAGTGGGAGGGGGAAGGGGCAGGAGGTGAGGTGGACCACCAGACCCACCTTGCCTTCTGCCCCCCAGGGCATCACCCCTCAAAGCCCTGGGGCCCAGGACCCCCGCCCCGATGAGCAGCCTGGCTCTGTCATCCCCACAGGGGGCCCTGGGCACCCACGGGGACAGTCACCTCCCCTCCCGGCTGGATCCCAAACGTCCGAGGGCCGGCTGCCTCCCACACGATGGGATGTCTCCCCGGGTCCCTGGGGCCCAGCACAGCGCTGGCCTAGGGGTGCTGGGCGGCGATGGGGGCACAGGAGGGAGGCAGCAGCGGGCTCCCTCGGGGGCCGGGAGAGGGCCTCACCTGAGGAACATCCCGCATGCTCTGCAGTTGGTGGTCTTGTCAAACGTGTACATCTGGAAGCTGTGCTGGTTGGCGGTGGCTTTGTCGGGCTTGATGTTTGACCTGATGGGAGGGAAAGCGGGATCCAGGTTCCCTGAGCCCCCCCGAAACGGGAGCCGCCAAACCAGCCGGGCTCCGGAACGCGGCCGGGAGTCAGGAGGCCAGGACTCAGAGCCAGGATCTGCCCCGCCCCCCGGGCAGACCCGAGGGGCCCTGACACCCCGGGGAGGATGAAGGGTCCGAGTGGGAGCTTTCGAGAACCTTCTGGGGTGATGGTTAAGGGCTGTATCTGGACAGGGCTTGGGTGTGGGCCGGTGCAAGCGTTTGTCGTGACTCAGCAAACCGCACCCAGGGTGTCACTGTGTGCGAGCCTGAGACATAAAGATCTAAACGAATCGTGACTTCACGACGGGCACCCTCAGTCGCACTGGCGTCTGCAGTTCACGACAACACGCCCACTAGCAGGTGGCACCAGGGCTGGGGGACGGCATGCGACAGAGGGCAGCACAAGACGTGAACGGAGCAGGCCAGGCATTTACCGTGACGTTCTTTCAACTTGGATCAATGCTTGAAAATTTTCATGAGAACGGTGGGGAGAAAATTACAACCCCTAGAAAGCCTTGGGGCCCACCGCCTGGCCGCCATCTATTCTGATGTGTCCCACGCGGGACGCCGTTGGATCCTCCCAATGATCCCAGAACCTGGACCCTCCCTTCGTGTGCATCTCACCAGGAGGAAGAGGCCAGGGAGGTGAGTGCACCTGCCCGGAGGCCCCCAGGACCTGCCACCCTGGCCTGAAGGTCTGATGTGGCCAGGCACCCCCATGATCACCTTTCTCTGTTGGGCTAATTGGGGTTCCTCCTAGATTTCATGGAAAAACAGCTCTGGGGCTTTTCCCCAAAGGTGACAATCCACCGGCCTGTAAGGGCCCAGGGATCTGGGTCACCGTGAGTCCATCTGGCACCATGGCCATTCCTGGCCACTCGCTGCCCTGCCGGTCAAGTGTGGGAGGCTCGGCCCCAGGGGGAGGGCCCTCTGGCCACTGTAGATTAAAGAGCGAGGCTGCCACGCGGGGGGAAGGGGCTGGTATCCCCGGGGGGGCGGGTTCCCCGAGAAAGATCCACGTGGCCTCCCACCCGCGCCGCTGCCACGGCGGACTCACATGGCCATCTCAAACTGTTCCGTCCACTTCCTCTTCATGTCTTCTGTCTTGCAGAAAAACTGGAAGCCTTGCTTGCCTTGAAGGTGAATTAGATAGAAACCGTAGGACCACTGTGGGAGGAGACAGGGGACACGCTTGCAACGGGCACGGCTAGGTGCACACAGGTGCACGGGCACATGTACAGGCACACTCGTGCCCGGGCCTGTACGTGCACACATGTGGGTATGTGTATGCAGCCTCTAACGAGATGTCCTGGGACCCATCTCCGACCCCCTCCAAGGTGCAACCTCAACTGAGGTCTCTGCTGGTTTAGCCCAGGTCACCTCTAACGACCCGCGTTGAGGCGTTCACCTGGGGCCCCCTCCAGGACACCAGCCCGCCCACTTTCACTTCCTAAATGTGATGCCAAAAAAGCTCACTGGTCTGAATCAGAACAACAGAAAAAACCAAAAAAGGCAGAGGAGGTCATGGGCCTGGGGAGCTGCAGCGAAGTCAGCCCAGCCTTCCCACCCCTCAGCCACCACCAGGCCCGGCTATCGCTCGGGGCTTCTAAAGGGGCCCGGGAAGAAGCGTCTGGGAAGTCTGAGCCCATCTGTGTTAGGAAAGGTGGAGGGAAAAAGGAAAAGAGGGAAGGAGGGAGGGAAAGAAGAAAGAGGACAAAGGGCGGCAGAGAGAGAACAGGCCAAACCCCAGTGGCTCTGAAACCACCCAGGTCCTTAACCTCCAGGGACCGGGAGTGGGTGGGGCAGGCGGGAGGGGGGGTTTCACTTGACACCCTTTGCAGCCGGCAAATCTGTTATCACGAATACATGTCTCCTCTTAATCCAGACACTGAGGGGAGGAAGGAGGAGAACGCCAGGAACCCAGCCCGGCTCAGGCCCACCCGGCTCCCCAGACCCCACTCCCAGCTCAGGGAGGAAGTGCCGGCATCGGGCCCGGAGGTGAGGAAGGTGGCGAGCACGTGAGCGTCAGGGGCTTACCATTTTCCCGTGAGACTAGGAAGCGCGAGGAGAGGAAAGGAAAAGGGGAGACGAGATCATCAAGAGGCCTGGCCCAGCGCCACGGTGGGTGCCGCAACCCAGGACACTGCCCACTGCCAAGTGCCCCAGGATGGGGCCACCATGGCAAGGGCCTTCCTCCCAGAGGGGCAGGTGCCGGGGCGGAACTTGGGGGGCTTCGTCTTCAGCCCTGAGCCTGGGAGGTGGCCTCAGGTCACTGCTTCTGGGGCCCCAGTGGCCTGTTTTGGACATCAGGGCTAGGCAGGTCACCCCCAATAGCTCTTCCAGGTGGCACCTGCATTCTACCTGTTAGCTCGGGAGTCCAGCCTCTTTTAGCCCTTTGGTGCCTGGCACCCACACCCAGCCCAGGACTGCACACCATAGGTACTCAAGCACTGGGTGCAGAAGCAGGACTGAACCAGAGAGCACGGCAGCCCCAACTCAGCATCCACCACCCCACCCACAGCACCCACGGCCCCACCCCCAGCAGCCATGGCCCCACCCCAGCAGCCATGGCCCCACCCCAGCAGCCATGGCCCCACCCCCAATAGCCATGGCCCCACCCAGCAGCCATGGCCCCACCCCTAGCAGTCATGGCCCCTCCCTCACCAGCCATGGCCCCACCCCCAGCAGCCATGGCCCCACCCCTAGCAGTCATGGCCCCTCCCTCACCAGCCATGGCCCCACCCCCAGCAGCCATGGCCCCACCCCTAGCAGTCATGGCCCCTCCCTCAGCAGCCATGGCCCCACCCCCAGCAGCCACAGCCCACTGGCTGGACATCAGAGCCCCACGAGCCACAGCAAGGCCCACCCGGTGCCCTCCTCCAAAGCGGGAGGGCAGGGGAGGGGCAGGAGGGTCTGCTTGCTGCAGGGGGCCACATGCGCCAGGCGGCCAAGGTGTAAGGCTGGGCTCTCACCAGCGGCCTCGGGCCACACCCCTCAGCTCAGGGTCCTCACTGGGGGGCTGCAATCTGGATCGTGCCCCTCCAACCCCCGCCAGGAAAGACTCAGACAAAAGGCCGGGGGGGGGGGGGCGCGGTGCCGGGCCCAGCACAGAGCGAGTGGAGGCCAGCCCACCTGACCACGCTTTCTCTAGCCACCCCACAACTCCTCCCTCAGGGGGGGTCGGTGCCTGCCCCGCACGGGTGGCCCAGCCTTAGAAGCCCCTCCGTCACCACCAGGAAGCCGGGGCTCACCTTCTTGACGTCCTTGTTGTTCATGGGGTCGTCGGTCATCTTGTGGAAAAGCAGCTCGATGATCTCCTTCAGCTCGTAGCTGTCGCCCCTCCTCTTGCACACAATGACCGCCTTGTCAAACAGGAACAGGTACCTGGCCCGACAACGCGGCCACAGGGGCCCGTCAGCGTGGCCACAGGGGCCCGACAGTGCGGCCACCAGGGGCCCGTCAGTGCGGTCACAGGGGCCCAACAGCGTGGCCACCAGAGGCCCATCAGTGCAGCCACAGGGGCCCGTCAGCGCGGCCACAGGGGCCCGTCAGCGCGGCCACAGGGGCCCGACAGCGCGGCCACCAGGGGCCTGTCAGCGTGGCCACAGGGGCCCAACAGCGCGGCCACCAGGGGCCCGTCAGCGCGGCCATAGGGGCCCGACAGCGCGGCCACCAGGGGCCCGACAGTGCAGCCAACGCACCGGGGTCCGAGGCCACGGGACGGCTGTGGGTGCCCGGGTGGGCAGCATGAGGGCTGCTCCCTCCCCGAGCCTGAGCCCTCCCCCGGCCTGGCCCACCCGGCCGACTCTGACCCCTCAGCCCGGCCTTGGATCCTCCACGCCCCTGCCCCCGCTGGCCTTCCCCACAGCACTGGCCTCTGCCGGTCACTGCCCATTTACACGTCCATCCTCCACGGGATTAGGAGCCGCGTGGGGCAGGGCTCACGTCTTCTGTGACCCTGGCCACAGCCCCAGGCCTTGGACGCAGCAGGTGTGCGTGGAGGACTGAACAAGCTGGGGCCGTGCCAGCTCCCCGGGAGCTTTCACGTCGCCTGCCCACACTCCCGCCCAGTCCTTTGGCAAACAGCTCACACGGCCGCTCCCAGGAGCCCGTGCGCTCGCAGGCCGGGCCTCTGGCTGTCCCCCAGCCCGGCCGGTCCAGTGCCGGCCGCAGGCAGGGCAGCCCCATGGGCGCGGCAGCCACTGGCCATCGCTCTCACCGGGAAGGAAGGAAGCAATTAAAAAGGCGCAATCCAAAGACAAGTCCACGTGAAAAGTTGTTTCCAGGCCCGCCGGGGAGCGGGGTGCCCTGGAGCGGCGTGTCTGACTCGGGTGCCACCCAGCCCGGCGCCCGCTCCGCTCACCTGTCTTGTTTGGTGTGGTTCACTATGGACCGGACCTTCAGCTCCCCGTCGATCTTTGGTCTCCCAAACTCCTCCAGTTTCACTTGCTGGGAAAGAAAGGGCAAGGCCGTTAGTCCCGGTGCCAGAGCAAGTTCCCTACGTGGAGAGAAACGCAGGTGGGCACGCGTCTGGGGCGGCCGTTTTCCGCAGAAACCGAAGGCGGGAGCGATGTGAGACGAGCCCCCCTGGATCCCGGCTGGTGCTGAGGACAGAAGGGAGGAACTGGGCCTGCAGACTCCATGCCCCACAGACCCGGCCCTGCTGAGGACTCCCTCCAGCTCTGCGGCAACAAAGGGCGACTGATGGTGTGGGTCAGTTAGCAGGCCACTGTCATCATGGAGCCAGAGCGGGAACCTTGTGGGAAACGCCAGACGCCTGACCCCGAGAAACCAAATTAAACAGAACAAACAGCGCTTATCATATAGAGGGCAGGCAGGGCGCGGGGGTCCTGCCGGTGGCTCATCTACCACAGGAAGAGCCTTCGAGTTGAACCCCCTCTCTGGTTTGCAAGGATTTCATTTCGTTTTCTGCCTGGTTTGCATCTCTGCTCTGCTCTGATTCAGAGAGACGTCTCTGGGCACGTTCCCTGTGCGGTCTACGCGGACAGAACAGGAAGGAGAGGATGCCGCAAAACGCTATCAGGCCAGCCCGCCTGGCGCTACGACGGGGGCTCTCAGCATCTTCTTTCAGAGTTTTCTGCATTTTCCGGGAGCTGCCAGAGCAAAACGAAGGGCGCAGCGTGGGTGTCACCCAGGGTGGGACCAGCACCTGCTTAGTGACTAAGGGCCTCTGTGTCTCATCTCCAAAGGGCGGGAAGAAAGGTACCAGCTCCACCTGCTGGGATGGGGTCCGGAGGAAACCACACGGCTGGGCAGAGCGGGGCGCCCGGCCCACAGGAGCGCTCCACACTTGCTCCCCTGCTGCTTAACTTTTTTCATTTGATGCGCAAGAATTAGTCGTATGTAAAAACTTAAAAAAAAAAAAGGCTTCTTGTCACAAAAGTAGTGCCCATCCATCCATCGTAGAGCATGTAGAAAACATCCAACGCTCAACGAGGGGAAAACCAACAGCCCCAGGCCCCACCGGGCACTAACACCACCGCTAACAGCCTGGGGCACAGCCATCCTTAACCTCCTCTGCCCTCTGAAAGGGAAGAAAAATGGGGTCGGATCATAATGCTGTTCGGCGACTTCTTTTTCCTTTGCTGGACGACACATTACGATTGTCTTCACGCCACGTGCCTGTACCACAGTCCTGTTTGGGCTCTTCTGACTCTGGTCGGGGAGGACCAGACAAATGGGCACCAGGTGTCAGCCTGGGCATGCGGGGCTTCCTTTGCAAAAGCTTCTGTGCTGATTTGCTTTTGACAGACACTCACCCGGACTCTAAAAGTTCAGGGACCAGAGAGTGAAAATGCATGTAAACCAGTGGTCCTCAGCCAGGGCTGATTCTGTACCCAGGGGACATCTCGTGATGTCGGGAGTTGTATCTGGTGGCCATGACTTGGGCCCCTGAAGGGTGGGGATGCTACCAGCATCTAGTGGACAGAGTCCAGGGGTGCAGCTCGACATCCCACAATGCACAGGACAGGCCCCACAACAGAGAATGCTCCAGCCCCAAGTGTCAACAGTGCCGAGGCAGAGAAACCCTGTTTAAACATTCAGCAGATCAGCAAGAGGCTGGTACCGGTTGGCACAGGCGGGGAAGTGCCTGCTTCCTGGGATGGCCCATCTCCTCGCCCCGCAGGACACAGTGGTTCACCCAACGCCCCGAGGCTGAGCCTCTGATGGGCCAGGATGAGGATAAGGTCCCACGAGGTGTCAGCCCTGCCTGCTAGAGGTCAAGGGGGAGGGGAGAACTCAAGGGCAACTCCTGGGCAGGGAGACCAAACCCTCTCTATTGTCCCTCATGGGGACAGGAGATGTGGGTGAGCCAGGGGTCCCAGAGCGTTAGGAGCCTCATGCTCCCCTGGGCGCCGTACTCTCCTCTTGGACCCAAGAGAGTCCCGGTCCAGGCCAGGGAGGGGGGGCAGAGCAGAGCAGTCAATACCGTTCCTCTCCTCGGGCCCTCAGCCAGTGGCCACCTTTGTGCACAGGGCCCCTGGGCTGGTCTCGGTGCACAGCCTGGCAGTGCAAGGTCAGCCTCCGCTCCCGAAGCTGCTCCACCCTCTTGGCGGAGAGCGCTCAGCACGGCTGCACGTGCCTCCACGACCCGGACGGACGGAGTGTGTGATCACCCTTCCGCTTATTCGATGCTGAGATTGTGAAAGTCATTTTTTTTTTTTTTTTTTTTTTTTGCGGTACGCGGGCCTCTCACCGTTGTGGCCTCTCCCGTTGCGGAGCACAGGCTCCGGACGCGCAGGCTCAGCGGCCACGGCTCACGGGCCCAGCCGCTCTGCGGCACGTGGGATCTTCCCGGACCGGGGCACGTGGGATCTTCCCGGACCGGGGCACGAACCCGTGTCCCCTGCATCGGCAGGCGGACTCCCAACCACTGCGCCACCAGGGAAGCCCTGAAAGTCATTTTTGAAAACATGCATATATGGCCGTGACTGTCTCCGCTCTTGGGGAGCCAGCGCACTTACCAGGTTCTCTATGGAACTCTGAAACTCGCCGATTTTCTTCAGGGTCTCTTTGTCCCGTTTGACTTCGTTGATGTACATCGCCAGGTCCTGGGACACAACAGAGGCGGGGAGCGGGTCAGCAGGCCCATGCTGGGCAGGGCGTGAGGGGCTCAGCCACGAACCCCACGGCACCGTGCAAGGGCTGGGCATCTCCAAAGTACCGTCCACCGTCCCCAGAAGTGGCTGGCCCTTGAAATAACCGCAGGGGTGAGAAGCGTCACCCCACTTGACAAACGAGGCAGAAAAGCTGTGCCCCATTGGTGGGCCAGGAAATCCCTCCTCCTAGAACAGCTTCCTTCTACCCCGTCACTCGGCCACCTTCTAGGTCAGAGTAGAAGGAAAACAACCAGGTCGACCTGGACCAGCCAGTTCTTGGCCCTACAGAGCCTCGGCGGAACAAGGGCGACCCCACCGCGCAGCCCGGCTACCCACATGCTGCAGTCTCCTGCTGGCCGCCAGGGGGCACTGCCCACCACGATCCAGAGGGCCCAGTGGGACAGACACCCAGAGCCCAGGGTGGAGCCCCTGAGCCAGGCGGTGGGTAGGGGGTGAGAGCTGGTTCCAGCCTCCCCTCCAGTGCCTCCGGCCCGTCCACACTGGGAGCCCACTGGCCAGGCAGAATCGGAGACCCCGAGGCAGGAACATTACAAGATGGGCCTGGTGAGCCATGCAACCACCGGGGCCTCCATGGCACAGGCCACAGAGTTCACACAGGACTTGGAGTAAAGAGGACAGGCTGCTCAGAGAAGCTCCCGAAACAGACGGCCGAGCAGAGCAGCGGGGGGACAGAAGCCAGAGAGGGGGCGACCCCCCTTGGAAGGTCACTTCGCAAAGATGGAGGAGGCACAGGACGTTGCCAGGTGACAAGGACAGGTTCAGCCCGAGCCAACACACAGGTGGGAAAGAACGGACACCTTCAGGGGCCTGAGCGTGGCCAAGCCTGCCTGGAAGGTGGGGCATTAGGGGTAAACACAACTGCAAAGCCAGCGCAGCTTTGGAGGCCTGTGTGCTGGGGGGAGGGTCTGGGCCTGACTCAGCAGGCAGTGGGGTGCCACAGAAGGGTTCTAAGAGGGGGAGGGACGTGAGCTGGGCTCTCCTTCCAGGGGCTGAGCTGCAAAGTGGGCTTCCATGGACAGAGGGAGGAGGGGAGAGGCGCCGTGCCTGGGTGGAGTGGGCATTTCAGAAGCAGATGCCACACACTGGGCAGCAGGCAGGGGAGGGCCAGGTGGCCCAGCACTGGGTCCGGTGCCTGGACTCCGGCGACTGTCTGGCAGACGGTCAGGGAAGCGAGAGGAAGGGAGGCCTGGGGGTGGGGGTGGGGTCACTGTGGGCCAGGGGAGGCTAGAGAAGAGAATCCTTAGGGAAGCCCCCTCCACCCGCCCCCTCTGCCCCTGGTGGGTCCCATCCACCGCCCTGCCCCTGCTCTGCCTCTTGCCGTCCCAGGAAGATCTACATCTCCGATCCCTGAGGTAAGGTTGTTAGCGAGGCCAGGTCCAGTCAAAGAAGGCGGGCACGGTCCATGAAGCCCCAGGCTGGCCCGGCCTCTCCCCTGCCTCGGTTTACCCACCTGCATGGCCTCCAGCGCTTCTTTGAGCTGCTGCCTCTCGGGCCGGTCGGTGGAATGGCTCAGAAGTTCCTGGGGGGGTGGTGAGGCGTGGGTGACCACTCAGGGGTCCCAGCCTGGGCCCGCTCCCCACCAGGCCCCGGGTGTGCAGACAGAGCCAGGCCCTCCGGACAAAGCCCCCCGCCCCCACCCCCCGGCTCTGGTCCAGCCACCCAACTCCAGCAGATAGACAGCGAGTCCTCCTCCAGGGGACACACGGCTTCAAGGCGAGGTGTCTCCAACTCTTGTGGATAACGGGGGGAACATTAAGACAGCACAAAGCCAGGGGCCGAGCTAACAGGTGACCTGCTGATTCACTAAAGAGGCTTGGCTGGCACCTCACAGAAACCACTGTCTCCCGCGCAGGTCTGTCTGTCCCGAAGGATTTCCTGTTTCCATGGCCACCAGGAAGCTCAGGGACTGGGTTAAGAGATGAGCCCCAGGAGCTCTTACTTCTGGCCTGAGGATGCTTTTCTGTCTCTCTCGGCTTTTCTTTTCTCTTACCGATTTAAATCATAATTTTCCTTGCGTACTAACTGACAAATATTCATAATACATACAAATACTGCGTAGCTCCCGGCACTTATTTTGCAGTTTTTAGGCGCTAAGCACGGGCTGCCTTACTCTATGTGCTTGTTCATTTGTCACCCTGGACTGTCTGTGGGCTCCACCCCACGCCCCGGGGGCTGCCGGGCCCTGACCCACTACAGCCAGTCTCACCTTGAGGAGCAGGTGGTATTTGAGCACCCTCTGCATGGGGACCACCAGCAGGTCCTGCAGCTTAAACTTCCCGTCTTGGACCTTCAGGGTGCATTCCTGGGCGTCGGGGGAGCAGCAGGTGGATTTAGAGCATCCTTGCCCGGGCACACAGGACCCCAACACTCCCATCCCCCAGCCTGGGGATGGGGGCAGACCCAAGCCCTGCACTGGGGCCCAGGTGTCTGGTCTTCCTCCAGTCTGGCTCCCAGAGACCCCCCCACCGCCAAACCAGGTGTGTGCAGAGGGGTGGGCTTCACAGCAGGCGGGCAGGGGCCCTGCTGCCTCATAGCCTCAGGGGTCTGCAGTGGCCACATGGGGGGGATTCTGAGTGACGCCTGGTCTGGGGTCTACCAGAGACCCTGGGGGAGGCCAGCTCACACTAACGGGGGCACCGCCCTCAGGAACCAGGGGCTCCCCACTGGTTGCCTGGACACACGAGGGCATCGGGCCTCTCCGAGGGGCAAGTCACCCCCAACACTGCCGGAGCAAAGGGACGTGGCACCAGGGCTCACCCTGGGAACCGTCTGACCGGCCAGATACAACATGGGAAGCCCAGCCTCTGGGGGGACGACACGGCAGGGGCGGGAGGCTCCCAGCAGAGGTCCGTCACCTGGGGCCCCCATGGGGTCCCGATAGGCCAGGGTCAGGGCTCAGTCACAGCCCCCCACTCAGCTGGATCTGGTCCGGGGGTCCTGCCACAGCTGCACCCAGGCTGGGCCCTGGCCTGGGACGGTGACCTCCCTCTGCCCACTCTCAACCCCAACAAAATGCAAAGGAAAAAAAACCATCTGCCAAAAACATCTACAAAAAACGTCCCATCACTGCCCCGTCCCCAGCTTCCCATGAAACGGGTAAGAGGCCAGGGAGCTGGAAGCTCGGAAACGGCAAGGGACAGGCCAGGCCGGGAAGCCCCAAGTACCTCGACTTTCTGTCTGAAGTCCTCCCTGCTGGCCAGGAGCTGGCTCAGCGTGCTCTGGGCGTGCTCCATGCGGCTGCAGTACTCCCCGTAGATCAGGAGCCTGGATGGCGGGTGCACACGCGCACACACACACACACACACACACTGGGTGTGAGCCCGAGCCGTTTTCACGTCAGGCTGTGAGCGCAGCAAGCAGCTCTCTCCCCGCGACATTTAACGGTTTTGTTCTTTCCATGAGGCTGCTTTCCTTCCCTGCCCTGCCCAGGAGGAGGGCTGCCAGCCGTGGGGAGGGAGGGGCACCCTGCCTTCCCCGAACCCAAGGAGGCCCTCTTCTGTGGTTCTGTTCCAGGTCAGGACCGGGTTTGGAGGTGCCGCTCTCAGCCCCCCATCCCACCCCTGGAAAGGGCCAAAGCCAGACAGAAGCCCCCGCCTCCCCAGGCGACTCACGCTGCAGCCCACAGGCAGTGGGCACCAAGGCCCAGCCCGGCTCTGTGCTCGCCCTGGGGGGCCGGCCCCTGAGCTGACATTTCGAGGTGCGGGGACCCCGTGGGCCAGCCCTTGTTGCTGCCACATGGCACTGATGGTCTGTGCCTGGGTTCCAGCCACCGGCCTCTCAGGGCAGGGTGACATCAGCCCCATCACCTGGGAGACGGGGGTGCTGGGAGGGGCCGCGGATCCAGGGAAGATGCGGGGTGCAGAGGGGGAGAAGGAGCTCCCTCTAACCCAGCCCCGCCTCCCCCGCTTCCGGCCTCCCCTGCGTCCACTGCCTGCCTGCCATCCTGCTTCTCTCCTAACACCCTCTGCTTTGCTCCCCACCACGATCCTCCAGGGCCGACAGACCAGAGCCCCCGGCACTGGGGCCCAGCGCTCTCAGGGCCTTGGGTTACTAGCCTGAAACCTCTTCTTTCAAAATCTTGTCACCCGACTACCGAGTAGGCCCCTGGAGAAGGACCAGGCAGGTGACATCGTTGGCTACAATAAGGATGGCTGCAACAGTCACCACCTCTGGGAGCCACCAGGGCCAGGAGCTTCACGCACAGCGTCACGACCCTTTAACCCACTTATAGAAGTGGGGGTGATGAGCCCCACTCTCCAGTGGGGAAACCAAGGCCTCAATGAACTTGCTAAGAGTCACCAGCTAATAAAGGGCGACACCAGGAGGCCGGGCCCCGCGCATGATGTTCCAGGGACGCCCTGCCAGACGCAGGTTACGCTGTGTGTCAGCAAACGTCTGGAGGCCTCTCCCGGCCCAGCTCTGGGAAGCTCGGGTGAAGATAACGTCAGGCCCATTTCTCTGTCCTCCGCAGACGCTGCTTCACCCTGAGGTACCTGGCGAGGCGCTGCGGGTAGGCAGTCAAGGCCTGTTGCTGGCTTCACTTTGGAGGAGATGACACTGCATCCTGCTGGGTCTGTGGGACTCCCCAGGCTCTCCCTACGTGGCCTGAGGGACCCGCGGTGACCACGCCTGGGCCGGGCATCCAGCACCCTGGCTCTGCCACGTGAGCCCCCGGGCAGGTCTCCCCTCCCTGGAGCCTTGGGGGTTTGGGACAGATGGCCGGGTCCAGAGTCCCGAGTGTGACACACTGACCAGGAGGAGCCACTCTGCATGAGAAACTGAGCCCTGGTTTCCACTTCAAGGAGTCTGCTATTCAATTCAGAATTTTCATAGAAAAGTTGATTAAGGGGCTTCCCTGGTGGCGCAGTCGTTAAGAATCCCCCTGCCAATGCAGAGGACATGGGTTTGAGCTCTGGTCTGGGAAGATCCCACATGCCGCGGAGCAACTAAGCCCGTGTGCCACAACTACCGAGCCCGTGCGCCACAATTACTGAGCCTGCGTGCCACAACTACTGAAGCCCGCATGCCCTAGAGCCCATGCTCCGCAACAAGAAGCCCGCGCACCGCAGCAAAGAGTAGCCCCCGCTCGCCGCCACTAGAGAAAGCCCACGCACACAGCAACGAAGACCCAATGCAGCTAAAAAGAAAGAAAGGGAGGGAGGGAGGGAGGAAGGAAGGAAGAGAAAGAAAGCCAGTTTCATGTACCAAAGTTTAAAAAAAACCCCAGAAACTTGGAAGTAAGGCAACGCACACGCGGAGGACTTGACGGTTCAAGGTCCCACCGGAGCGCCTGGGCACGCCAGCCACCCGAGGCCCCGGGGAAGGCGGTCTCCCTGACCCGGCCCGACGCAGCTGCGTGACCCTGTTCTGTACACGTGATTTCCATCACGCTGGGGAAGCAACCCAAAGGTTCCAGCGCTCTTGCCACGGAGGAAATCGACCGGTTTGCATGTAACGTGGCCACCTCATTCCTAACTCCTGTCCCCGCTGACTCTGCGTGCCAGTGTCCCGGACTGTCAGCTGAGCGACCTTCGTCAACCTTCTGCTCTTTCATGAGGTGGTAGATGTTGGCCACCAGCTCCGGGATAGGTTATTTATTTAACTGCTTGACATTTCAACTCCGACCCCATAAAGGGAGCCTGAATGCCTCTCACAGAAATACATCTGACGCCTTATTTCCTCACTGCGTCACTTCTGTCTCAGCCCACACAGCCGGGGACAGGACGGAGCACGTCCCAGGACACAGGTGATGCGCCCAGGTGTTCACCCGGGACACGGGAACAAGCTGAGACCACGCGTGGCCAAGGCCTCACCCCTCTCCCGTCCTGAGCTGCCCCATCTGGGAAAGGAGCTCTGGACAGGGCGGGAGGCAAAGGGCTCTCCGGCTGATGGTCCCAGGGCAGCCCTCCCGACAGAGCAGCCACGTGAACCCCTGCGGGGGCTCTAGGGGGTACGAGAGCGTTGTCTCCGTGCAGGACCACCTGACCTCGGGCTTTGAGATGAAAGGCCCCCAGAGACCCTGGTTTCCGTGAATGGAAATCACAGCCAGAGGGCAGCGCCATCCACCTAACCTAAGAGCAAGGAGAAGCTGCAGAGCGCCGAAGCCCTCACCTGCCCAGAGCCTCTCTCTCCACACTCACGGAAAGCCCACGGGGTCCTGGGATGGGGAACCTGCCTTTCTGAACGACGTTCCTCCTAAGAGCACGTGTGCAAAGCCCCACAGACAGTCCCTCCTAAGAGCTCGTCCTCCCACCTTACCACCGGGCCACCAGCTCCCCAGGCCCCATCCAGCCCGAACCACGGACCCACAAGAAGTCAGGCTCCAGGCCCACCTTGGTCAGCCCCAGCGATGAATACAAAAGGTGTGACTTCAATGCAAACCCTGCCCGAGAGCCAGCTCCCTCCGTGTGGGAGACGTGGTCTCCTTTAAGCCCACACGGCAAGGTTAACAGGAGCCTCCGCCTTGTCTGAGGATCGAGGCTGCATTAATGGGAGAATAAGCTCCAAAAAGAGGTGGGTGATTGCCCCCTGCCATTCTGCACTGCTCATACCACACCTGGATGCCACCCCATCCTTCATCAGTGACGAGCTGCCAGCATCTTGCCCCTTGAATTCCTCAATGGCTTCTCCTGCCCTCATTTAAAAAATTATGGGGCTTCCCTGGTGGCGCAGTGGTTGAGAGTCCACCTGCCGATGCAGGGGACACGGGTTCGTGCCCTGGTCCGGGAAGATCCCACGTGCCACAGAGCGGCTGGGCCCATGAGCCATGGCCGCTAAGCCTGCGCGTCCGGAGCCTGTGCTCCACAACGGGAGAGGCCACAGCAGTGAGAGGCCCGCGTACAGCAAAAAAAAAAAAAAAAAAAAAAATTATGAATCCCTATCTTCGCCCACCAGATCCTGCAGAACCTATAACTGCTCCTTGGAGAACCTCCCCTTCGCCCCCTCGGTCCCGCTCCTCTGGCCTCTGCCGGTTCTCCAAACAGTCAGAGCTCCTGGCTCTCCTGCAGCTTCTACTCCCCACGTGGCTTCAGGGCTGATCCCCTCTCCCCCAGGTCCTCAGGGGGCCCCAGCCTGTGCTACAAGTCCCTTCCCCACATCCCCCTCCCCTTCCCTGTGCTCTCAGGCACTATCACAGCCCACAGTAAGTCTCTTGTCTGTGGACTCGTTTCCCAGGGAGAGCTGAGCCTGCTTCGCTCACCACGATGTCCTTGGCCCAGAGCTCTGCAGCCGCACACAGCAGGCACTCCATAAATGCTTGCAGAATCGGTAAGCCAGCGACCATCAGGGCCTTAGGGGCTGACTCAGAAATAAGAAGGGACTTGCCAGAAAAGGCGGATGCTGGGATGAACAGTGATTTGGCAAATGAGGTCTGATGAAATGCAGCCAGCCCCTCCCCCAAAGGGACCGCAAGAAAAGTGTCTGGACCCCCGATGCCTCGCTGGGCGGGTGACCATCTGCAGAGCTCTCGGCGCCAGGATGCATTCTGCTCACTGCAGTTCTCCGAGGCGGAAACGTCCGTCATCCCCAGAGGAAAGGAGGCCTGGGGGCAGGCCAGCCCGAGGTTGTGCGTAGAGGATGGCGCGAGGTCTTGTTCACAGGCAAGCTGGACCACAGGGACAGGCCAGGCAGCAAAGCCCTTGCGCTGGGGACGTGGAGGGTCCCAGGAGAGAACAGGTCATCCATCTGTACCTCAGCCACGCGGCCTAGAGCTGGGTTACTGGGCCTCAGTGCCCGTCCGACCCCCAGCCAAGGCGCAGCACTGACGAGATGCTGAGAAGTGTCTGCCGTGCCTGTCACCTGGGCGAGGGTCAGGCCTGACGGTCAGCTCAAGTCCAGCAGCGGGGCGCCATGGGCCCACCTAGCATGGTGGCTTGCAGCCAGGTGAGAGGAAAACCTTGTTGGGGGCAGAGGGCGGGTTAGGGAGCCGGCCTGACCCCCAGACCTGATCCCCACCCCCTTGCCCGGGCCGGCCAGCATGCCCACACCTGCTGGTGCCTGGAGAAACCTCGTCTGCTCTCCTCTGGCTGCGTCTGCCACCTGTACATGGGCACTGCCTGCTCCCTCATGGCTCCCGGGAGCCCCCCGACTCGTGGCCCCTCAGAAAGCAGGCTTGAGGACCCTTGCCTGTTCAGGAGGCCACAGCTCCTTGCCTGGAGCTACAGGGCACCTGGGGGAGGCACGTTCAGGCGATCCTAGGTGAAGGCGCCTGGGAACGCAGCTGCCTGTGCAGACAGGGTCGTGAGCGGAGCTGAGCGTCACCTGACGGGCGATGCAGGGGACCCTCCTGCAGATGAGGGCGACATGGACCCAGGGTCCCCACTGGCCCCTGTGGTGCCTTCTACAGCTCCCAGGACCCCTCATCAGACCCTAGGAATCGGTATTTTTTTTTTTTTTTTGGGCTGTGTTGGGTCTTTATTGCTGCATGCGGGCTTTCTCTAGTTGCGGTGAGCGGGGGCTGCTCTTCGTGCGGTGCACAGGCTTCTCATTGCGGTGGCTTCTCTTGTCGCGGAGCACGGGCTCTAGGCGCACGGGCTTCAGTAGCTGTGGCACGTGGGCTCAGGAGTTGTGGCACACAGGCTCCAGAGCGCAGGCTCAGTAGTTGTGGCGCACGGGCTTAGTTGCTCCGCGGCATGTGGGATCTAGTTCCCAGACCAGGGCTTGAACCCGTGTCCCCTGCATTGGCAGGCAGATTCTTAACCACTGCGCCACCAGGGAAGCCCCAGGAATTGGTATTTTTAACAAGCTCCCAGGCAGAGGCACCACGAAGACAGAGCCTTCAGGCTCCTTTTGTCCAAAGATCCTACGAGGGACGGAACGCCGGGCACCATCTAATGATGCATCTCTTGAGATTTCAGTGGCTAAAAGCCACCATCTCCCAGGACCCTGCAATGCTGGCATCCTGCGAGACCTCCACGTCACCTGGCTTCGTCCTTGTCAGCAGCCCATCTTGAAGCGCCAGCTGCCAAGGCGCCAGGGGACGAAGCAGGGGCCCGGGCTCTCCGCTGGGACGGCAGAGCCATCCTGACAGCTGCCCCCTCACACCTAGTTGGAAGCTTCCAGAATTCCACGCCCCCCGCCAGGCTCTAGCAGGACATTCTAGAGAACAGAAGGCTGCCTCCGTACCCCCTCCATCAACTGGGGTGACCAACAGAGGCGCTTAAAAGCAAGCAATCAAATAGATTCACAGGGGCCACGTAAGAGCAGTATAATTTTTTTTAAAACAAGGTCCCTGCGTTGATTCCTAATGAGCTGTCACTCTCTCCCATTGACAGTCTTGATCCTGGATCAGGGACCCCACTAACGGGCATGATTATCACAGGTGACTTTCTGGCGGGGTGGAGGCCGGCACCCTCTCTGCGTCTAGACTCAGCCTAACCACCTGGGAGGGGCCTGGAGGAGAAGGGCCGCCTCGGATCCTGACAAGAGCATCTATACCCCTTCGGGCTCCAGGGACACTTGCCCCGAAGCTGCGGAGACTCGTACAGGACCAGGGCACCACTGGAAGATCCAGGGCTCTGCGCTTCTCGGTCCCGGAACCACGTCTCCCCACGTTCAGGGCTGAAGCCAGCTTATGCCAAGACGGCCACGCAACCGTGTCCGGGGCTGCCGTCCGCACCCCCGCCCGGCTGCCCAGGTCCGGCCCCTACACCTGCCCGGTCACCGCAGCCTTCGCTGGGTGTGGACCAGCATGTCGGCAGCGCCGGCCTGGCCTCTGCTCACCCTCAGGGCACCAAGTGGCACAGACGCCATCGTGGCCCCTGACCGACAGATAAAGAAGTCGGGCTGTGGTGTCGTGTAGAAGCAGCGGCATGGCCTCAGCCCTGGGGACCCAGAGCCTGGGCTCTCAGCCACGGCTCCCTGCAGCCCCTGAAGCCCCTCACTCAGGCCGGCACAGGCGGGGGTGAGTGCAGTTGTAGCAGCAGGTGCCACAGGTCCCCTCCCCCCAGGCACAGAACTCAGGGGCAGACTCTCCCGGTGCCCGATTCCCGTGGGGTCTGCAGCACGGCAGGGGCGTCGTGATGGCACGAGTGTCCTTCAGCCACCACGACCCCCAAGAATAGAGGCAGAGGGGGCGGCTGGAGCCCCCGAGAGGCCCCTCCCACGCAGGCTGTGACGGCAGGGAGGACAGGCAGTTTTCTCAGTTGACAAGTGAGGACAGGGTGAGTGTGGGAGCCCCGACCCCCGCCTCAGCACCACGCAGCGGTAACCTGGGTAAACTCACCCACCAGCAAGGCCCCGTCCCCACTATGGAACCGGAGAGGCGCCCGGACGCCCCAGAGGCCCCGGCCACTCACCTTTCCTTGAAGTCCAGGAAGACCTTGGCCAGCGTGCTGCCCCCCGCCATCATGGACACGTCGATGGCCCTCAGGAAGCTGTGATGCACCTTAATTAGGTCCTGGGACAAAAAGCAACCACGCATGAGCAGGCACAGCAGGCTGGGGGGCACGCGGGCTCTGTGATCACCCTCCTTCCCGGCTGCCGTTCCGATGGAAGGACATCCACGTGAGTGGCCGGGCGCTGGGCGTACTTCCTCACGTACACACCGGCTGCCGTTCACTAGAAGGTGCCACAGCCGTGCAGAGTCTGCACCCGCCTGTCCAGACACACGGTGCCCGACCCCAGCCAGCATCCTCGCGACCCGCCCGCTGTGTGCGGGAGTGCAGGGGCTCAGGCGCCCTGACGGGTGAAGTCTCTCCACTGTGGAAGGGGGGCCTTGGCCCTGGGGAAGTGTGTCCACACTTCAGAGCAGAGGGGCGGCTAGCAGGCAGCACCATCTCCCATCCAGGTTTCCAGTCCTTCTGTGGCCACGTGTGCCACTGCTCACGGCAGGATGAACTCTGGGTCGGGGGGGCGCAGGGGCTGCGAAGCTCCGGGGTCTGCGTCAGCCTCACCCAGGAGGTGCCCAGCGCCCACCCCTCAAGCCGTCGGCACCCCGAGGAAGAGTAGGGCCAGTGCTCCCCGACGAAGCCCACCCACACACAGCTTCTGTCCCCGGCTCTGCTGACCACATCGAGGTGAGCCTCCCCACGCGGGATGGCCCTCCGGTGTCCGTGTTCAGACACCGCAGAGCAGTGAGGGCACTGTTTGCTCAGAGAGGGGGAGGGGACACGCTTCCCCGCACTGATGACAAAACCTGGTGCTTCCTCCAGGGCGTGTGCGTCGCGGGCACACCCGCCAGCACCGTATTGGGCAGGGAAGCTCCCAGAAACTGTCCTCTGTCTCCTAAAACCCAAGTCCCCGAGAAATGGGGGCCTGCTCACCGCCCCCCACCCGTCAGCCACGAAAACACCCTTTAGCCAGGATCAACCATGCAAGCCCTGGGGACGGTCAAGTGGGAGCCCGCCTGACGTCCGGGCAGGTTAGGACCTCCAGCCCACACACGGTGAGCCAGGGGTGGGACCCTTACCTCCAGGTTGATGAAGATGGCCGCCATGTCCGCTGGGCTCAGCACCAGCCTCAGAGGGGTCACGTAGTTCTGGAAGAGAGAAGCCCATCACCGCCTGAAGGACGCCAGTCACCTTCGAGGCCACAGTCGCCGGTCGGAGGGGCTCTAACGGCCTCAGAGAAAAACAGCCGACTGCAGGCAGCGCCCCCGTTCCCCCATCAAGGGTCCTGCGGGACGGCCACTCACCCAGCACACGGGGGTGCTCCACGCTTACTGGAGAGGGGGAGACCTGCGCGGGAAGTGTGGGACCGGGTGGGGGTCAGGCCTGAGGACCCGCCAGGTAGGCAAAGCTCCGCAGAGGGCCCCTTGCACGTGGCGCTGGACTTCCACCCTAAGGCCAGCCAGGGTGGGCTCTGCTGTTTGAGATACTTGAGCAAGTCGGGTCCTCCCGGGAGGCGAGAGGCATCACCCAAGGGAGAGCCTGAGGACCGAGAAATGCCGTGATTCCCACCCGACACCCATTCCTGAGCCTACACCCATGAGTGCACCCCCAAACCTGTCATCAAGAGGCCCGCTCCGGCCCCGCAAGCGCCACAGTGGCAGGGGTGCTTCTGCCCCCGGCCTCCTGGAGGCCCCCACGGGGAACGACCAGCCACCCTCCCCTCTCCCTGCCCCTTCTCCCACAGGGTCCTGGTCCCCTCGCCCTCTCCTTGGCCGCTGTGTGCAGCAAGAGAGACCTGTCCAAACGAACAAGCACTAGTGGCTGCTGGACGCACCCAAGCACTTCTCCCTGTGCCGTGCCGACACCGGCCACTGTGTGACTCGGTTTCCTCACCTGACACGGGGATGGCAACACGGTTAGGGGAGGATTGCAAACACGATCATCCCCGAGAACACACAGCACATGCACACCCCGGCTGGGCACGCGCCCAGCTCAACCCCCGACGTGTGCTGCGCCCGCAGACGGGCAGCACCCGCCCCCAAAGCCCACACTGAAGGGGTGGAGACGGGCCACAGCGGCCCGCCGGTTTGCTGCGACGAAACTCGGGCTACGTGAAGCCTGCAGGGCCCTGGAAGGAGCTGACCCGGGAGCTGGGACTCGAAGGAATGGGCAGCTGGGACCATGTGTCTGCAGAAAAGCTGGTGGTCGGGGAGAAGCTAAAGGGCGGACACACAAGGGTTGAGTGGGGCGGGAGAAGGGGAAAGGTCAGAAGCCTGGGCCAGACCTGGGGCCAAGGGGCATCTCACGACTCCCGGCTGGAGGCTCCACAGTGCCCTAAACAGTGGGGACCTTCTTAGGCCACCCCATTATGGCTACACTTGGCCCTACTCTGCAATGAAAGACCAGCCAGGAAGGGTCCGTCTCAAAAACCGTGTTGGTCCTTTCACGCCAGCGTGCACTGGCAGCTGGCAATGAGGATGCCCAAGTGACAGGGAAACGGCACCGTGCCAGTGGCCACAGGAGGCCAGGGCAGATGGCAGGAGAAGGCCCGTCCGTGGTTCTCCAGGAGCTGGGCAGGCCGGCAGGGAGACAGCGCTGACCAGCCATTCAGGGAAGCACACAGGCCGCCACAGGAGCTCCAGAGACTCACGTCACTGGGCCCAACTGCGTCCCAGGTGCAGGATGCCCACAGTGGCTGGTACTGCTGTTATCGCAGCTTACAGGGTGGGGAGGCTGAGTGCAGACAGCACCCCAGGGAGGAGAATACACCAAGAGCTCACTCAGCGCCTGGCCCGGGGGAGAGTGTATACAGAAGGCGTCTAGCTCTGGGTGAGGATAAAAACGTAAAGAGCTTAGCTCGGCGCATTCCGGAGCGGAAGCCATAACGACGCCCCGTTTAGGCTGGAAGGAGCCTGTGAAACAAGCTCAGGAACAGTCCAGGGTCCGAGCTGAGGCCAAAGGGTGGGAGGTGGGACCAGGGCCAAGGGTGGCAGCTGACGAGGAAGCTGGACTGAGTGGAACCCACAGCTTGTGTGGGGGCAGAGGGCAGAGGGCAGAGGAAAGGTGAGGGCGACCTCCTTTTTGGTGGAGGGTGCAAAACCGAGAGGGCCCCTGAGCCCCGCCTCCGTCACCGCTGCCCGGAGTCCCTGCCCGGTGGCAGGGGTCCTGGGTGGACCCGGCGGCCACGCCCACCTTCTCGATGTCCTCCAGGGTCCGGTAGTACTTGGCTTCCGTCTCCTGGATCTCCAGCAGGCAGCAGCTCCTCTTGTCGTCCTCCGTCATGCCCATTTTCTAGAGGGGGCACAGGAGGTCAGCCAGGACCCCGCCATGCCCTCCACCTGCCGCCCGCCCGGGCTCGGCCGTGGGGTCACTGAGCGTGAAGGGGGCCGCGTGGGAGACAAAAGGCCCTTCCCCTCCTTTCTGCAGACGGGCAGGCTGAGGCACAGGGGAGGGGATGTGGTGTGACCCTGAGAACTGACGACAGCGCAGAGATGGGACAGAGGCTTCTGAATCTGTCTCCACCAGACTGGTCACCCCCTCCAGCAGATACAGCAGGCGTCACACATGCTTAAAGCGCCGACCACGTGCACAGAGAGAGGGTCTGACCAGCTCCCTGAGGACACGTGTCCACCAGCTGATCCACGCTCCCAGCTTCAGCCTGCTACCGCCTCAGAGAAAGAAGCCAGTTCCCCACAGGGCTGGACTTTCCAAATGTCCACTGCCTCAGACCAGGTTCCTAGCTAACAGCCCGTCGGCAGGGGTCACTGAGGACACACCTCTGAGGCAGGGCCTGCCCCGCCTCTGGGGTGGGACTGACCAAGAGACTGTGGCCACAGGGGCCGGAGAAGAGACAGCAGGTGGGCTGACTGTCGGAGGTTCTGTGGACGGTCCAGACACTCTCCTTAAGTCCTTTCAGGCTGACTGAGCACGCAAGGCTCCGGGGAAACAGTGCTGGGACGTGGGACGTGCCATCTGGACTCATACCTGCCCTGACGTCATCCTCCCCCTCCTCCAAGAAAGGCCCCAGGGCCCCGCGTGGGTTTGCCGGGGCCACAGTTCTCCAAAGTAACCTGCCAGGTGGGCACATCACCCAGGCCCCCCAGGCTCCTTCCCAAAGCCCGTTGTCCCGCTCAGCATGGGAATTCAGTGTTGAGGGTCCACAGTTCCCCTGAAACTGTGTGTAAGAATGTGGTGCCCAACAGCGTCTCCCTGGGGACAGGGTCCCGAGTTCCTCCCGGAAGTCAGAGGAAGACGGTGCTGGCAGAACTGGCCCCGGGCCTCCCCTCCACCTGCCACTTACCTGCATGTATCTAATCTGAAAGCATGGAGAAACAAATAGGGCAAAGAACCAGTTAGCGGTGCTTATGCTTATTCAAGCCGAGCTTGGGGAAGTCAGGGAGCTCGCCCCCATTAGCCAACGGCCCCAGAGGTCACATCACACCCTCCGCCTGCCCGCATGGCAGCCTGGCGGGGCGGCGGGGACAGCGCCAGGACCGAGCACATGGCAGCTTGCCCACGGCCGGGCTCGGAGAGTGGCACCTGCCATCTCCTGGCTGTAGCTTCCTTTAGAAACATCACTATTCCCCATACTTTCCACTTAGACCGTTCAGACAGCTCCAGACATGACAGGAGAGGAAATAAACCCAGCTGGGTATCTCAGAGGACCTGGCGAGTGGCAGGAGGCCCGCCCTGCCTGGATGGACAGGACAGCTCGTGAGCCCAGCGCCGAGACTGGGGACGCTACGCATCGCTGGGCAGGTGGGACGCTGGTTTGTCCCCAGGACACAGGCGGGCATCTCCCCCAGCCCCGCAGGTCCTGCAAACGCCCCGGGTCCTGTCATGTGCTTTCAGCACCAGGGACAGCAGCGGCCTCTGGGGAGCGCCCAGTCCAGGGCGGGCTTCTGCAAGCCAGGTGCACACGGGGTCCCGTGGGAGCTTGTACAGCCAGGGGGCAGGGGATCCCCCCAGACAAACACACAGGCCACTACACCCACGTGCCCTCGCCTAACCCAAGGACACCCAGCTTCCAAAGGGCTTGGGGAGTCGGGCGGCGCCCATCTCACTCAGCCTGCTGGCGATGCGGGAGGGCAGCCAGCCTCTCAGGCCGGGTCGGCTAAGCAGAGCCCTCCGGCCCCCTGAGCCCACTTCCCTGGAAGGTCCAGGAGCAGAGCTGCCTACCATAAGGCTGCCCGGGGCGGGGGCAGACCTGGGCTCACAGACCCACCGCTGACTCTCCAGAGTGAGATTCCTGGTAATTGTGGGGAGCGAAACCCACCTCCAGACCCTTGAGGGGCAAAATGAGAAACCCGTTCTTAGAAGCAGCATCTGGGGCTGTGAGCCACTGCCCGGCATCTCGGCATGTCTCCCGGCACAGAGCGGGAAGGGCCTCTTTGAGAGGCCTCGTGGGGAGCTGTGTCCTACCCTTTTGTTTCTCTACCACCAGCTGGTGGCCCCCACGCTGAGGGAAAAGACTGAAACCTGCTTTCAGAGAAATTTCCCCCATTTCTTTGGTGAGGGCAAATGGCATCAAAGGCCTCCATAGTGGGCAACTGGCATCGCGAGCGCCCCCGGGAGCCTGGGGGTGCGAAAGGGCTGTGGCCCACGCCACCAGATCCCCGTCTCCCGTCCTGGCCTGGCAGGAACCCTCCCGCCCCAGGACAGCAGCTGTGGGCAGCACACGGGGCTGCAGCACGCGAACATCCCAGACGTGATTAGCCGACGCCCGTCGGAAATAAACATCCTCACGCAGGAAAGACGCACGGCTGCTAAGGGCAGAGGGAGGCAGGCTGCCGGAGACCAGCACCGCGTCACCATCTAAGGCTCCCTGGGCAGGAAGGACTCGGGGTCCTGCACGCCCTCCGGAGGAGACTTCCAGAGCAACACGTCCGGGGAGGCGGGGTGGCAGCGGTGTCACATCCCGGTCTCCCTAGACATTTCATAGGAAAGAAGGGACCTGGCCGACCGGCGCAGGAAGGACCGGGTGCAGCTCCCCACCCCCCCACGCCCGTGGCTCAGACGGTGGGGTCTGCGCAGAGGCTTTAAAGGAGGGGCGGGGCGGGCAGCGGGGGCTCACCATGGGCTGCTGCACTTCCACCTTGATGATGTCCTCATAAATGTCGTCCCCTTCATCTTCGCACGGGACGCAGTCGTAGATGTCCTCCCCCACGTCATGCTCACTGCACAGGAGGGAAGCGGGGGAGAGGGGTGGGGGGCTGAAGCCACGTCCACGACGGGGCCCCCCGGAGGGGAGAGGCAGTTGGGGCCACCATGAGGCCCACCCTCTCGGCCTCAGTGTCCTGGTCCAAGGACAGGGCGCCCGCTTCCTGTGGTTTCTGGTAGTTTAACCCAGGCAGCCTGGGAGTGCCTTGTGCTCTGCCTGCCGCCCTTCTGGAAGGTCCCACCATGACAAAGCGCACCCACCCCAGCCCTTTAGTAAAAGCAGGGACACACGCTGGGGCCCGGGGGCGAGATGCTGCCTTAACGGGAATCTTTGCATAGCTGACGGACAGGCATGCCCAGCTCTGGGGACCAAATGCCCTCTCCCTGGGCCCACGCCTGGGACCTGGAGCCCCGAGAGCTCTCAGCTCAGCCCAAGGTCTCCCCAGTCCCAGCAGTCGAAGTGTGAAGGTCAAAGTGCAGAGCTCACAGGCACGTGGACGTTTTCCCCACCAGTCAGCAAGGAAGCAGAGCAGAGGGACGAGGAGTTTGTGATGCGCCTTCCCAAAGGAGCAAGGAAGTTACCACTTAACTTACGATTCAATAAACCTTTGTTTTCAGCTCATGACCTTGCCAACAAGTTATCCCCTCTGATCTGCAAGCCTCCAGTCAAGGGACACCTCCTCCAAGAGGCCTTCTGGGATCCCCCGCCCACTCTGCCATCCGGGACTCTCCATCTGGAGCTCTTGTACCAAGGGCATCCCTCTCACTGCATCTCCAATTATTTTATAAGTGCCTGTGGATAAGCCTGTCTCTTCCCCAGACGAAACCCAACTTCTTCCTCCCTTCTGATCCCCACTCCTGATACAAAGTAGGTGCTCAGCAAATATTTCACTGAATGAGGCAACAGCAAGTGAGCCAACCCGACTTGTCCCTCACTTCCCACAGGCTCCCGGCCCCCAGGGGTCACTCTGGCCTGGGGATCGGGGACAGGACTCACCCTGGACCCAGGGCAGCCAGCTCTTCAGCCTGCCGTGGGGTCCATCCTCGGGGCAGGCTATGCTCAGAGGCCAGCTCCCCCGGGAGGCCCACGCCAGCCCCGAGTGCCTCTCTGTGTGAGGACACATCTCATGGCCTGGCTCAAAGGAGGCCTGGCAAAGTTCTCTTCTGAAAGGCGTCAGCATGAGGTGGACCACTTCCCCTCCCCACCGCACAGAGTCCGGGGGGGTGGGGGGAGGGAGGCGAGAGCAGAAACGATTCCCCAGCGGCTCTTACGAGTAGGTTTCTGGCCCGTCCCAAACCTAGCTTTTGAACATTAGCTGTCATTCTAGAGGCTGGGGCGGGGGAGAGAGATCGCCACAAACCTACTGGAGAGAATGTGTCGTACTCGAGGAAGGTCGCGGCAGCCAGTCTCCCCAGAGCCCTGGACACCTCCCCCGTGGGGCTGAGCTGCAGTGGGACAGTGGGTAGATGCGTCAGACTTCCCTCTGTGGGGGGCGATTCCAGGCACGGGGGTGAGCCAGTGTCTACCTTGATGGGACCCCCGCAGATAGCTGATGAGAAAGGGCGGGAGAGAAAGCTGCTGCTTCGGGGTTACGTCACTTGCTGTCTTACCACCACCACTCCAGGAAGCAAAAGTTGGCCTGAGGACAAAGCCACATCACAAGGGGCTCGGCCAGCTAACGGACCCCCCTGTAACTGTGACGTCACCTGCCGATCGACGGGCCCGTCCACAGGGATGCCAACGCACGTGTGGGCACTTGGAAAACATGTATGCTTTTCAACTTAACACACCCTTGGAGATGGAGAGCACTGAGGCCCTTTCACAGATTAGAAAGCCACACACTGAGGCTCCACAGCGGCTACAGGGAGCTGAGGGGTGATCCCAGCCCCAGCTCGTCCTTTCTCCCCTCTCCCGCCCGCCCTCCACTGCGAGACCAGTGTCTGGACGTCGGCAGTGCCAAGAACTGGGGTGGGACCCAGATGGTGACAGGGCTCCCAGCTCCTGACAGAACCAATGAGAAGGCGGAGAGGGGGTTCTGTCCCCCAAGGTGGGCCTTGGGAACGGTCACTCGTGTTGACAGCCTCTCCAGAGGCTGCCCCCAAAGGAAACAGTTCCCGCAGCCCTGCCCACCAGATTACTGGAGGTCCAGGCAGGTACCTGCAGGGGTTCCTTCCGAAGGATGCCAGACACCCTGGATTTCTGTCGTGCAGCCAAGCGAGGCTGGTGACAAAGGCACTGTCGCGAATTCTGACAGCGTGGAACAGAAGGGAGACATGGAGGCCCCCGGGCTGCTCAGTGAGACACCTCAAAGGCAGATCAGCCCGCTCGTACCGTCCGAAGACAGTCATCAGCTTTGCTCTGATGGGCCGGTGGAAGGAAGTGGGCTGGATGGGGGGACCTTGACAGTCAAATATTCTACGAACCGATGAAATGAATAAAATGAACGTCAGCCTGGAAAGGGTCCTCGAGACCATCAGGTGAAGGGACAGCCATCTGCCAGCCCAGGAGCCCCCTTTCTCATCCCACATTTGGGGGAACATCCTAACTGACCCCAGGACTCTATCCCATCCAGCTCAGAATGTTTTTCAGCAAAGACCCCCATGCAGCCTCCACAATCAGTCAACCGGAATCAGGGCTCGAGATGCAACTGAGCCCAAAGCTCTCTGTCGTGCGGATGGGGAAGCCGGGGTGCACGGGTGGGGAACTGGCCACGTGGTCTTTCGGAAGCCGCGTTCCTGCTCTGCTATCTCCTGGTCGGTGGACCGGTCAGAATGCTTTCATTGGCTGAGGACCTGACGGCGTGGGCACTGAGGGCTCTTCAGAGAAATAGAACCGGCGATCTGTCGATCTTAGGGTGATGCAGGCACCCGCCCCATTAGGACCCCAAGCAAGAGCTGTGCTTGACGGAGGGGACACTGAAGGTTGGAGAGGTCAGAAGCTTCCCAGACAGCGGGACTTGAAAGACGCTTGGACACCAGTGTCGACCGTGGGGTCCTATGGAAGGTGCCGAGGGGCAGAGTCCCTTCTCTGCCACCCTCTTCACTGGCACCATCCACAGATCTAGGCATGCACCGACGTCTACATGCACCTATTGTGTCTACAGAGCACCTACTGCATTTCGAGCATGGGGCGGAATGCCATAACATAGGCTTGTCATTTGGGGGATAGGATTTATGTAGATCGAGATGTACCCTTAGCTCTACCATTTTGACAAGGGGACGCCCCTGTGTAATTCACATCCTGTAGCATCACAGAGCACCCTCATCTCCCCTGAAAGTCCCCCTCCTCCCTGATCGACCCCTCCCCCTCCCCTAGTAACCCGCCTCTGACTGTTCCTCACCAGAGATTCCCTTCGTCTGTTCTAGAACGTCGCATCAACTGCACCGTCTGTTACATTCACGTCTGTGTCTGGCTTCCCCTCCTCAACATCAAGCCCCTGAGATCCAGGCTGTTGCCTCCATCAGCAATTCATTCCTTTTTATTGCTGAGTCCTAATCCCACAATTTGACATCCATTCTCCTTTTGATGAACATTTGGGTTGCTTCCAAGTTCTGGTTATTGTAAATAAAAGCTGCTATGAGCATTTGCCTTTTTTTTTTTTTTTTTTGTGGGCATGTGCTCTCATTTCCTTTGGAAATGAAATTCCATGAGGAGTGGAATTGTTGGATCAAAGGGGAGGTGTGTGTGTTTATCTTCAAATAACTGCCAAGCATTTTTCCAAAGTGGCTGCAGCGTTTACTCCACCACCAGCAGTGTACACGAGTTACAGTTGTTGCGGTTCTCTCCAGCTCTGGCGGGTTCCAGCCTTTTTAATTTTAGCCACTAGAGCGGGTATGTAGTGAGATAGAATTGCAGTTTTATTTTGCATTCCTGCAAAGATTAATGATGTTCACATTTTATCTGTGTACTTATGGACGTTTGTGTATCTTCCTATGACAAAGGCTTGCTCAAGATTTTTGTCCATTTCTAAAAATTGGTTGCCTTATTCTTATTGAATTCTAGGAGTTCTTTATATATGATGGATACAAGTCTTCTGTCAGATATGTTTTTTGAACTTTTTCTTCTCAGTCTCTGGCATGGCTACTCGTTTTCTTAATGGTGCCTTTTGATAAACGTTCATTTTTCATTTTAATGAAGGTTAACTTATTGACTTTTTCTTCTATGGTGTCCTGACTCCATCCTGTGTTGCACCTACAAAATCTTTGTGCCTTGTGTAAGAAATCTCTGCTTTCTTCCAGGTTGCAAAGGACTTTCTCCTGTATCTTCTTCTAAGACCTATATGGTTTCAGTGTTTTTGTTTAGGTTTCTAATCCATCTCAAATGGATTTTTGTATATGGTGTGAGGTAGGGATCGACGTTCATTTACTCATCCCCACGTGGATATCCAGATGTTTCAGAACAATTTGTTGAAAACTTTCTTTTCTCCATTGGATTGCTTGGATCTCTTTGACAAAAACCAATTGACTATACATGTGTGGGTCTGTTCTAGAATGCTCTATTCTAGCCCATCAATACATTCAGCTATCTTTATGCCAATACCACTCTGTCTCGATTAATTTAGTTTTATAGAAAGTATAAAACTAAATAGAAAGTTTTATAGAAATCAGGCAGTGTAAATCCTCCAGCTTTGTTCTTTTATAGGACTGTCTAGACTATCCTGAAGTCCTTTGTACTTCCACATCAACTTTACAATCACCTTGTCAATTAAAAAGAAAAGTCTGTTGGAATTATAATAGGAACTGTAGTGACTACAGTTTAATCTGGGGGAAAACTGACATCTTAACAATATCATCTTCTAACCCACAAACACAGTATACACTTGCATTTATTTAGGTCTTTAGGTCTCAGCAACATTTTGTAGTTTTATCATAGAGGTTTTAGAATTTAGGAAGCTTGGGACTACTGTTTTCTTCAATTTTTTTTTTCCTGCCTTATTCTCTCTTTCTTCTCCTTCTGGGATTCCAATTATACCTGTTAGACCACCTGATATTGTCCTATTTCTTCTGAAGAGTAATA